TTCTGTGGAAGCTGAGCATCCACACTGTTTAAAGCACTGTGAAGCTGTGGGAATGAGGGAGAGGAAAGCTGCGTCGTTATGATAAAAACTGATTCTGAACAAAAGTTGAGTGTGTTGTAGCACATATTTAGTCAATGACATGAACGCACAACAGTATATATTTGATCTTTTTTTTACATTTTAGGGGAAGTTAAGCTTCCCTTGCAGTCTTAGAGCAATCGCCTCTGTTGAAGAAGTCTCATGGAGGAGAGACGAAATATTTCAGTAAAGAAGAACCCGTCCAGAGAGCCTACTTGTTTTTTTTTTTTTTCAAGTTTTCTCATTGGAATCAATTGAGATTCTTTCAAATCCCTCAAGATCCTTTTGCTCTTTGAAAACTTCAGCATTCTTGCTCAATCTGTGTTGCATTCTGTACTTTTGGGTCTTTTTATTTGCTTTCTCTCTTCTTACATGTACTTTTTGTCTTTATGTCTCTTTCTGCTCTTTATATTAGTCTTGCTACTATTTTTTAGCTAATTTGAACAAAATCATTCATGATTCACGCTGTATTTTTTTTTTTTTTTTTTGCAGAAAATGCTTTAATTTTTTTTTTTTTTTTTTGCAGAAAATGCTTTATTTCTTAGTTCTGCCTTTATCTTTTCATCAGGCTTTGCGCAGCCGAGACAGCCTGCAGCTGGAGTACACCGACTGTCTGCAGGAAAAGAATCGTCTGCGTAAACGCATCGCGGAGCTGCAGGTCAGCTTGGAGCAGCAGCAGAGAGAGCTGGAGCGAGAGCATGAGAGGAGCCGGGAGCAGCTGCAGCAGAGCGCGTGTCTGCACTGTGTGAGTTAACGCAGGACTTCTCTGGACAACAGCACTGCCACCCACATCTCGCCGCCAACACACACACGTCTAACACAACTGTGTGTGTGTGTGTGTGTCCCACAGTCCCACCTGTCCCTCTGCAGCGAGGACCGGTGCTTCGGACCCTGCTGCTCCCTTGACCTGGACATGAGCCCTCACTCCAGCAGCGCCTATCTGACGCTGAAGAAGGTCTGTGCTGCTTTTCACACCAGCTGCTGATACAACTCATCAACAGCAATCATTAATTAAATGCACTCGACTATAACTGTGGGGTGTCCAATCCCGGTCCTCAAAGCCTCAATCCTGCGTGTTTTACCTGTTTCTCTGCTCCAACACGCCTAATTGGAATGAATGGGTAATTAAGAGGCTTCTGTAAAACTTGCAGAGTTAATTCAGTCACTGAATCCTGTATGTTGGAGCAGAGGAAACAAGTAAAATATACAGTGACCCTCCTGGACCAGGAATGGACACCCCTACTTCAGACAAAATACAAAAAGGCAAAATAACCAACATGGTTTTGATAATTTTTGAGTGATGATTGTTTTTAATCATTACCACTCGTTGCAGAAAAGTGAAGGCAAACTAATGTGTTGTTGCTTTTATGTGTTTTTGTGTCTGTCTGTTACCAAAATATTTCATTATTCTCAATGACTTTTAATAAAACTTGCAATAATTACTGGCTGTATGTCTTCAGCTGATGAACTTTTGAAACCAACCTGATTCAACATGATCGCCGCAGCCAACTGACCTAAAAAAACAGAATTAAAATGGCTACAAGCAAATTTATTTTAGAAATTCATCTAAAGATTTGGTGTGGTAGTAGCTGAACCTGATTCCCACTAAATACTCTGAGCGCTCCACATTTTGCAGCATGTCGGTCTTTGCCTGTCTGTTAGCAAAATATCTTCTAAAACACTGGATGCATTCTATGAAACATTCAGGAAATAATCATTGGAAGTACATCTTCAGCTGATTAACCTTTTGAGTGAATTTAAAATTGTCATCACAGCTAATTGACATTAACCAACATAAAAACTAATTCAACTCAGTCAGTTTTACAGATATTGAGGTAAAACTTGATGTGGATACAGCTGGGAGCCATTCTTAACTCAGACTTTGAGCAAATGGTTATCTTTAAGGTCTGATCAAAACTGCAACTCGATCATTTCTCAACATAGACTATATAAACCTTTACTTTAACAGGTTAGTCAGTTGAGAAACAATTCTCATTTACAATGACAGCCTGGTCAAGAAGCAGCAATAACCACACAAAATGTCAGTGAACAATGATAAAATCAACATAAAGGGGGAAACTAAAAGCAAGCACAGAGATCTTGTACTATTGAATAATAGGATATAATAGGATCATTTGCATTATTGGATGCCATGCCTCCACAGATCGCAGTACTTTTGTCCGTTCAGTTGTATGATTATGATAAAATCTGATGCATAATCTGCTTATGTTGTCTGTAACAATAAAAGGCAGCATTTATGTTTCTGTCCAACAGAATCATTTATTTTCTTGCTGTCTTCATGAGTTAAAATGACAGATCTGCTCATCAGCAGAATTAGGGTCTTGTTGTTCTTTAAGAGGAATCCCTTCTCATGCAACACGAGCGTGTTTCTACGTGTGGAAGCTCTCTGATGTGCTGTGAGGTCACTTTGTGTTTTCTGTGTGACAGACGCCACCTAGAGGTCAGACCCATGAGAACTCAGGCAGTAAGTTGTCTCCACTGATGGCTTATWACTCGGCAGGAGACTGTACTGAGTCTGACTGTTCTGATTCACAGGCTCCTGTTCCACCTCAGAGGAGAACCTCCTMTCGTCTGTGAGGTTTATTATTTGTGCTAATTCTCACTCATAAATTGTGGCTCAGGATTAGTGTCTCAGTTTTTACTGATGTTCCTTCAGACAAAAGTTGATGAAAAGGAAATAAATCGCCTCTCCACGTTTGCCTTTCCTCCGTGTGCAAACTCCATCAACCGACGGTGTAACGTGGAGTGAGTTTATTAATCACAACAAAGCCCTTTTTTAATTAAAACACTCATCTGTTTGAATCGATTCATATCCTTATTGTTTTTGTCTACAAAGGTTTGACTTGGACCCCTGGGGCAGTGATGAGAACGACAATATTTTAGGTATATTTTTTTCAAATAAATGCCTTTTGATTTTTGTGTCTGTTTTCATGGAGCACAGTTTTATTGTGAATTTTCAGATGATCAGAGTGAACCTTCTCTGTGTGACTCCTGGACCTCTTTACACTCACACCTCTTCCCTCCGGACCTGGTCAAACTGCCCAGTGTTTCTACCAACCAATCCAATCCCATCATTCCCAGGTACTGCCTTGAAAAAATTAATAAATAAAAATCTCCCTGAAAGTTTTAATATACAGTTAAAATGTTAATATGAAACATACTGTTACCTGAATTCTAATTTATGAACTTTTACATGATTTCAATTTTTGATTATTTGTTTTTTTACTCAAAATTTTATGCAGTTTTATTCTGACAACTATTTTTGTCTGACACAGCTCTGGGGTCAGATTTATAAAGGATTGTGTGGAAACCATACTAAAAGTGAACGTACGGCCAAAGGCGAAAATGGCGTACAAAAAAAAGAGTCAGATTTATAAAACCGTGCGTACGCATGTTTCTGCACACCTTTCCTTCACAGCTGCTCCTCAGAGTTTGCGCACAAGTTCCCTCCTCAGGTTCTACCCTCAACACGCCCCCACTCAACCATAAACAGTCAATGCAAAGCACCTCATGAATGTTAAGATGTATTTAAATCAGTCAGCTGATCAATGTCAAAAAAAGCGATTGGCTCAGATACACTCCGTCGTGCGTCTGGAGGATGACAGGTGCTGACTGACAGCTGCTCACGTGAACAGATCGTCTGTAATTGATGCAGATTTTCCCTCATTTTGCAGGTTTACAGACGTTTAGAGCAATCAAATGATTTTTATCTAAAACTCAGCTTCAAATTAATTTTCTCTCAGAGCCTGCAGGACGATAAAAACAATAAAATTAAATAAGTCAGATAAAGTTAGAAATAAGTTCACCACTCTTCTCCCCCGTCCTCATCCTCCTGCCTGCTGTTATCTGCAGCTGATAGTCTCCTCACCCCCTCACATCTCCACAGCCCTGCGAGCGTGAGAAATACGGACTTTAAAAAGTGAACTTTTTATAACATCCACACTGGTGAGGGGCGCACCCAGCAAGTACCCAAAGCTGGTGAGGGGCGCACCCAGCAAGTACCCAAAGCTGGTGAGGGGCGCACTCAGCAAGTACCCAAAAGCGTGACTTTTGCTGTCGTTCTGTTGAAATGTCTGTAGTCGGGGAGGGGTCTGTGGGTCAGGGTCGWCTGAGGAGGAAGGAGATGGATGGAGATGTGTGAACTTTTATTTAAGATTTAAGTTTTTTTTATTTCAAAGGTCCTCATGGCTCACAGCAAAAGCATAAATATTACTGTTGAGAAAGCTGATGATAAAGTTGAATAAAAATCTTAAAAAGTCTGATTATGAAGTGAAATTAAATATCTGACAGTGATCATTACACAGTGTGGCACTAATTCCTCACTTCACCACCTGTGTCACAGCTTCCTGTCTCCAAAATGAGCGTACGCATGGGTCAGAGCTGGTGTGAGGCACCGCACATTTTCACGTCAAGTTTGGATTTTATAAATCACAACCTTGGCGTGAAAAGTGGCGTACGCAAGTTTCTGGGCTCGTTTTGTGCGTACGCKAGTTTTATAAATCAGACCCCTGGTCAGCAAACAGGTTAGATAATAGAACGTGTTCAACTTAAAGGCCAGAGAAACTGGTTGATGTAAAAGTAAAACTGAGTACTTGTAGAAACTTTTTTTTAATTTTATACCACTTTTTAATATAAATTTTTATTTATTTTTTAACCTTTATTTCAACAGGCAAAACATTAAGAACAGTTTCTTATTTACAATGTTGACCTGAGAGTACAAAAACACTTAAAACACTTAAAAATGGAAAGATGGGGAAAGGGAAACAACATAAACAGTACATAAAACATATAAAATGAACAGTGCATTCATTCTTTAAAACAGTTACATGACTCCTTAAAAAGATCCTTTAGTCTGTGTTTAAAAGCAGGAATAGAAATCAAAGTACCAAGATGCAGTTTATTTTGATCGAAGTTCCAATCATTTGCTGCAGCAAAGCGGAAAGACATGAGGCCAAAGGAAGACTTGGTTTTTGAGATTTTCAATCTAATAAGGTGGGAGGAACGAGTATTGTACCTTGAGGGGGGTTCTCGTTGTAGTAATTGATTTAAATAGGGAGGTGAAAGACCTAGCAGGGTTTTGTAAATGAACTAGAGCCAATGAGCATTACAGCGAGACTGCCGTAATGCTCAATGGCTATAAAATATTTTGTAGAAGCTGAAAATTGTAAATGAAACTAAAGTGTTGTGTTTACTAGTGATATGGTTATTCAAGACCACAAAGACAATGATTTGGAGTCTAAATGTCTATCAGTGTTATAAAAACATGTTTGCAAAGACTGTTTATTTCTAACGTTATGTGAATTGTTGGAGCAATTTAACTACCGGTATCATTGTTTGAACTCTCTCAAAGAGAAAGCCAAACTGCAAGGTTGTTCGAGCCACGTGAAACCATAAATATAATTTGTTTTAAATAAACCTTTGAGTCCTGTGCTTAACTCTGATGAAGAATATCATCAGTTTCATTTTGCAACATACTGTATTACCAAACACAGTCTTCAGGATAAATAATCATGAAATTACATGTGAAAAAATGTATTATCAAAAATGTATGTCAGAGTAAAGGTTTTTTTTAATTATGTTCACATGAACTGGTATGAAATGTTTGAGAGTTGAGTCATCCAGATGAGCTACTGAGTCTGACTGCTGCTCCAAACCCTACAGAACCCCACGTTAAATTTGTCATATTTCTTCATGTTTTTTTTTCCTGTGTCTTTCAGAAAGCCACCTTCCCTCTGCTCCCTGTCTTCAAGTCCCCCCACCTCACCAAAACATGGAAGAGCCAGTTTAGCTGATGATATCACCATCGTGGGAGGAAATCGAGTGGGGATCTTTGTCAGCCACGTGAAACCCGGCTCTCCAGCTGAACAGTGTGGACTAACTGAGGGCAGTGAGCTACTGGAGGTGAGTGTCCATCWGCTGAACAAATCCAAACTGAAGACTGTGAYAATAAACACTTCATCAAAACATCAGGCTCTGTGAACGGTTGATAAAATGTGAGTCTGTAAGGTAACGTCCAGGTTTGTCTCCGTTCTGTTCAGCTGGAGCGGGTTCTGTTTGGCGGAGGGAGTGTGATGCTGAATCAGTGCACTGCTGAGGTGGCCCACTTCTCTCTGCAGTGGTGGACRGAGCTTTCAGCACTGAAACACCAGAGCAACCAAGACGGTGAGTCTGAAAGGTTGCAACAAAATCTAAAACCAGAAGATCAAACCCACATAGCAAAAATTGTTTGGCCCAGTTTAGGCCCACACAGTACACTAACCTTTGGCCCAATTACTGCAAAGAATAATGGCCCTTTGATGGCCCAGATGTAGTTTGCTCATGCATGAGCCAGCAACACATAAACTAAACCACAACCGGGCCAGTTGTAGCTTTGACAGATTTGGACCACTCACAGAAGGGGTCCTCTCATTGTAAGGGTCAAAGGGTGAACTAATAACTAAAATGTATTTTCTGGGTCCTGTTTTCAGCATATTCCAAGCTGTGCTCAGAGCTTTCTTTGCCTTCGTTTTTTGGTGCCGACTCCTTCTATGTGCGGGTCAATCTCAACATGGAGCCTCGTGGAGACCCGCCGTCTTTGGGTGTCTCCTGTGATGACATCATACACGTCACAGACACACGGTACAATGGGAACTATCACTGGCGCTGTTCCCTGGTAGACCCGGGCACCGCCAAGCCTCTGCAGACAGGAACCATGCCCAARTACAACAGGTACACTAATTCACCCCTTCGATCTGACCGCCAGTCACTCTAATGACATTCACACTACAGCTGTGCTCAAACAACAAATTAAATGTGATATTTATGCCCATGATGAAAGCTTCTCACTGCACCTGTATGTAGCATGTATTGATGTTAAACACAAGATGAGGCAACATCAGGTTTCAGTGCAAATGACCTGAATCCCAACATTTTCAATCTCAGGGCCCAACAGCTGTTGCTTGTAAGGTTAAGAAGAATGTCGCTGGACCAAAAGGACTTTAAGAAGAAGATGGTGAGACTCTTTATTTTTTAAATTTTAGCAAATTAAAAAAAATTGTTCAACACTTACTGTTAAATTATTGTGTTTGGATTATTGTAGTTTGCAAAGAAACCATCTGGCCGCGTTCGATTGGTCAAAGCAGTGGATCCCAGCTTCCGGGGCGTTGGTTCCTCTCAAACTGTTCTTTACACTCTCGGCAAACGTAAGTTCCAGCCCCATGTACACAAGCTGCTTCTTTTTTTTATTACAAATCATTTACTTTTTATTGATTATGTTGGAATTTCCTCGTTACAGGTCACGAGGACCACTTAATCCCATACACCTTAGTGAAACCGGTGAAGCTTCAGACAAAGCGGCCGGTCATCTTCTCGCCGTCTCTTCTTTCTCGAGGTCTGATCGAGAGGCTGCTGCAACCACCAGAGTCTGGACTGAAGTTCAACACCTGCCCGCCCGGTGAGCACAACGCTAACACTCTTCAGTGAATATGTCCAGGATGCTTATCCAGCCATTCTGGATGAAAAAAGCATCACCATGTATTGCTTTCAGTACAGGGAGTTGGACCCAGCCTGGACCCCTAAACCAGGACAGGGCTTAAACCGTTCATGAACCTTCTACAGAAATCTTATGACTTTATTTCCTCTAAATAAATTAAATTCATTTGTCTTCTCAGCACTCTTCCGGGTTCATGACTCACCATTGTGGATCCAAATTGAGGACTAAACTAAAACAACCCGTTGATTTCAAAGTATTCAGCTTCCATTTGGGGGATTCAATTAAATTTGATTACATGAATCATCAGTGGGACAAAACTGAGSTTTAGTAGTTTGTCTCGAGGATTAGTACAGCRTATTGCTGAGCATAAGACAACCATTTTTTTAAATATCCGGGAGAAATTTCCCTGCTTTAACAAGTTGTGTAATTCCTGTTAAAATAACAAAAAATATGTACACAAAGAAAGCTTGCTGTCTAAAGCCCTGTTTACACAACTTAGTTTTTAAGGGAGACTGTAGCATTTCTGCTGAGTTTTGGTCGTTCACTTTCAGGACAACAGCTCTTGTTTTCTCTGACACCGAAGCTTTTTGAATGGAGTGGATATTTTTAGAAACACGGCATAGACGTGAAATTGAGCATGTGCACTATGGACGGCTGCAGACGATAGTTTTTCTGCACGTGGTCTAGTACAGTGGTTCCCAAACCTTTCAGCCTCTGACCCTTAAAATATCAGCAGCAGAGACCTGAGCCCCCAACTGTAATTGGATCATAAATATTGTTTTCATGTCAAAAAAATAAGAGCATAATAACAATATTCATTATGCTATTTTTGTCCATTTTAAGTACACTAACCTTACTCTTTTTTAACAAAAAATGCAAAAAAAAATGTTAGTTTTTATTTTCTAACAGATAATTCAGAAAGTCTTCTAAGGACCCCATCTTGATGTTTTGGGACCCCATTGTGGGTCCCGACCCCAACTTTGGGAACCACTGGTCTAGTAGATGAACAACACTAACAGTGGCAGATAGCAGGGTGCTGTTTTTTAGACATGTAGGAGCAAGTCAGCCTCATTTATCTACTGACCTTCAGAAATATGTTGGCAACATCTGCAGGGGGGCGGGTACAATCTAGTGGAAAGAGGAGGTGGAGGAGGGAGCGAAGTTAGCATTTCTTTACAGGTGCTGAGATGTAAAATGAATTTGAAGCTGAGTTTTATAAAATAAAATAAAAATCTCCATAAGGTTTTCTCTATACAGCTTTTTACATTTAAAATGGTGGAAAACCTTGGAAATTTACGGACAATCCGTAGAACTTGATACGTAGTCTTGTTGAAATAAAAAAGTCACTGCGCCTGCTAGTGGCCTGGCCTGGAAACTACAGCAAATTCCAGAGATGGTTCACAAGTAAACAGGGCCTTGAGTGGTGGATAAATGCTGGTGAGTTCAGCTGATGGTTATCTTTGTTCCTCTGACGTCTCCAGAGCCCATTCCAGCAGGGGAGAGACAAGACAGAACAGTATTTCTGTTGGATTCCTGCAGTCCAGAGCAGTCGTTGGGCATACGGCTGGAGTCCATACAGGAAGTCATCAGTCAGGTACTAAAAAAAAGAAACAGCGTGTTCTGTGGTTTGTTTTGTTTTCTTGTAAAAATACTCTTTTTCTCTGCACGACAAAAAGGCAGGCCTCAACAATGCTGTGCAATGTCACACATTCTTTCTCTTTATCTGTGTATCAGGACAGGCATTGTCTGCTGGAGCTGGGGATGGCCAGCGTTGAAGGTTTACTGAGACAAGGGATTTACCCCATCGTCATCCACATTCGCCCTAAAAACAAAAAGCACAAGAAGCTGAGGTGGGTGCAAACTTCTTTTGCTTTTGACGAAATGGTGCTTTTATAAATTCATGTTGGGTCAAAGCAGCGTGAATGTGCTTCATCAGCTTCACCCATAGAATCCGCATTCAGAATAAATAAGCAACGTTAAACCTCCAAATCTGAAAGGGTTTGGACAGTACAGAAAAGGTGTTTAACTAAAGAAATTTTAAAAATTATTTTATTAAAATTGATTTCATTTGAATAGTTACATTCCTTATTCATTTTAGGCTGCAATGCCTACATTTGAATAAATGAAACAATTTAAAAAGCCATATTTTAGCCCAAAACTTGACAGCGTCGATGTGTAATGTTAATGATTGGATCCATTAATTTATCCAATACAGTATTTCTCAAAAGAGATAAATACTGACAGTGATTCCAGTATTTTTATTCAAGAAAAAAACTAGAGTTAGTACAACTTCAAATAAAGGGGTAATCTTGGATTCACAATTTTGATTTAAACAAGTAAAACAGATTGTGAAAAGAATGAAATTTAATCAGTCTGATTTTCGATTTATTAGAAATAATTTAACTTTAGAAAGCACTGAGTTGTACTTTGATGCCATGATTTCCACTCATATCACATATTGTATAACAAGTTGGTTATCGCTTGCAAAAATATTTCAAAACTAGTTGAAATAGTTCATAGACAAGCATTAAATGTGCTGGGTAAAAACCCAGATTTTATAATCATTGCCAGATACTTCAAAAATGTGAACGACTAAGTTGAGACAACATTATAAAATATCAAGATTCTGTCTTTGTTTATAAAATAGTTCATGGCTGGGCTAAACTTTTATTACAACAGTTTATTCAAAAAATATCAGTGAGTGAACAAGGGCAGGTCTTGTTTCTCATACTTGGAATACCATTTTGAGTAACATAAGGGAACTTTCATTTCTTATTTCATTTAAAAAAACATCTTAAAAACTGTTTCTCTGAAAGCCAAAAATGTCACCACTAATTATGTACAAATATATATGGATTTTATGGTTGTTTTATGCAATTTCTATTCAGTAATGTTATTTTGTTTTCGTTTTTTATCCTTGTTTTTCTTGTGTTTTAACATCAATAAGATGGAAATTATCCACCAGGATATAATCTTGTAGATTCACACGTAAATGTTCATTGTTGCATAATGCCCCATTTTTAAAAGTAAACTTGAATTTAATCATTGTATTTCAGAGTCATTTCAATTCAAGATGGCCACCACATTTAAGTGACATTAGCCAACACAAAAATGGCGATAATGGCTAGATTGAGCTATAATTGGATATGGTAGTAGCTGAGAGTGATTCACAACTCTGAGCACAATATGTCCATATTGCATGAGATTGCACAAAACTCAATTTTTAAGTTTGAAAAAAAAAATGCRACAACTGTTTTTTCTCAGAATAAAATGAAAACCTGCAGCTTTTTTCTGGTTTGTTTTTTGTTTATTTTAAAGACACAACTACAAACAGAAATCCAAAATGTTATGTTCTAACTTTTTCTGATTTGAGTGAGGATGTTTTAATTTAGTCTTWAAAAAAAAATCAATGTTTCTGCCATCTACCTTTCGGAACAGGAAGTTTTTTCCTCGGTGTGGAGAGGACAGTGTGATGGAGGAGGTGTGCCAGGCCGAGGAGCTGCAGCTGGAGAACCTCCCCATGCTTTACTACACCCTGGAGCCCAGCACCTGGAGCTGCACAGAGGAGCTGCTGAAAGCCTTGTGTGATGCCATCCACAGCCAGCAGGGGGCAGTAGCTTGGGTTGAACTCGATAGGTTGCAATAAAAATACTAATAAGCGCACAATTTTTTTTTTCATTTAAACCTTCAAATTTATTTGAATGGTGTGTGAGAGTTGCCCAAACCGTAGCAGGATCTTTGCAGAGAATTTTAAAGAAGGTCACATGAGGACGTTGTGCATGCATTTCAGCAACAATTTAATTCTTTGTATTACAAATGTTTTATTTAAAGCTATTCCTGACACAGATCTGAGCCACATAAAGCAGGTACAGATGCATTTGTAGGAACATTACTTTTCTCTTCAGGTAACTTAATAGTGTTAAAGTTTTATTCTGTTGAGTTTGTCAAATACTTGTGTTCTGTACATGTCAATACTTTACTCATATTTATCGAAATACTGTGACTTTTATTTTATGTATGTTTTTTAGTAGCATCAGGTAAGCAGTCATGGTTGCATTTCAGTTTACACAACAGTTCGACAGGTTTGAGCTTTTTTTTATGCCTTGCATACAATTGTAGCCAGTTTTTAATACAAAAATAACTGACCTGACTTCAGCTTTAATGATGTAAATTTTAACATAGCTAATATTTTGCATGGACTGTGCCTTCCACGTATGTGTTATTAAAAGAAACAAAAAAATGTTATTTCTGTTCAAGATAAGTCAGGACAATTTCTCCAAAACGTGTAATTCAACTGTCAAAAAGAGCTTTTAGTAAAGAAATAATAATAAACATATTGTAATTGTTTTGTTGTTTATTGTACATTGTTAATAACAAAATATGGCATACATCTAGTTATGCTTTCCTTTGCTTTGCTGTGATGTCAGCTGCTGAAAAAAAGTCAAGTTTATTATTTAATAAAATGTTGGATGTAATCTTGATTAAATCATTTAGATTTATGAATAAATAATAAATTCATAGTAAGGTAGTTAATTACATAAAGAGCATAATTTGGTCTCATAATCAGGAAAACCAAATAATATATTGCTTCAACACACGAAAGTCAGGATGAATGTGACCAGAAATAATTTACTCCATAGTTATTTTGTATACAATCAATACTAAAAGAAGTGAAGCAGTAAATCTCGTGACTCACAGAAGTTTCATTAATATCAGTTTTAGGTTTCTGAAAGTTTGTAAGTTACAGCATTTAAAAATATATATTTTATTAGTCTAGTAGTAACAGCCATACTTTGATCCAACAGGTATTTTAAACAAACCTGACTTGAAACAAGCCAAACTGGTGACCTCATAAGTAAAAAGTTGCTAAGTTTTTCTTCTCGGAACACATTTGTTTACTTTCTTTAAGCTCCGCCTGCTCCTGTGTTACGGCGCCCCCTGGTGGACAGTGGCGGTACTCTCCGCGCTCCTCCTCCCCTCTCTGATCAACAACCAGCAGCCTGCCGCTGATATAATATGCTGCTAAACCACCTCACAGAAAGCAAAATGGCCGATAGTAAACTAACCGATCATACAGCGTCTGACAGTCATCGAGGGGTTGTGCATGTTGTGTTTACAGCTTGAATTGTAAAGTCGCGCAAAAGGAAGGATTTTTGCGTTTCTTCATTTCTTTTTCTACAAGCAACGTTTTCGCCCGCCGGTGATGTCATTTCTTATTCAATTTAGCCTTGGAAGCCTCGAAGAACTAGCTCGCTAGGTTAGCTACCTTGCTAGCCTGCTAGCGGTAGGATTGCAAGAATTTTTGCACAGAAGCACTTTATGTCCTGTGTGATTCCCGAGGTGAGTTTTTGACTAAGTGTTTTGCGCTTTGAACGCTTTCTTGCAAGATAGCTACATTTTTTCCTCCACTAACATTGCAATTTTTTTCATTTTCACAGCCTTAACACTTAGGTTTTTTTCAGGTTTTACTCGGATAGCTTCGCTTAGGCGTTGAATACAGAAAACGTCACACAAATTCGTCGTCTAAATTGGCCCTGGCAAACATTATTTAACAGTTCTTCCTCAGTCTTCTGCCCGTGGTGTTATTGTTCCGAGTGAAAGTTGCTAAATTATGTTAGCAAATTGAAAGTGTCCGAAAACAAGTGGCACATTGTTAGTTATGACGTTCGTGTAGAGTGCGTTCAGGATGTGGTCTCTGCCTGATTAAAAAAGACCTCTTTCGGTTCATGCACGGTTCTCGCAAGCTGCTCTAATAATGTCAACTTTAATGATTGTCTTTTTGGATCATGAAACTCTGTTGAACGCTAGCAGTTTGTGGAAATGCTCTATGAATACAGCCGTGTTATTTACACGAGGTTTAGGTTAATTGCTCCTGCGGCTTCGGGCATTTTCCATCTGTGGTTCTTCTGTGTTTCATTAAATGATTAAATAAAAGCCAATGGTTGCATTACACAGTGAATGATTAAAATCCTCAAGTTGTCCCGTTATTTTACATATACGGAGCCCGCGAGGGGACATGGCAGATTTTTTTTTCTATTGCGTTCCCACGAAATAACAATTTAATAATAATTTCACGAACTTGTGGCGACACTTCCTGTTTTGGTAACCGGATATTTCAAAATAAAAGTCTGATTTAATTCAGTTCATATACAAAACAAACTTTTGCGTGGGAACGAGAAACAGTTTTGCGAGGTAACGTTAAACGTTTTGCGTTACCAGTGGTGGGATGTAACTAAGTACAAGTACTTTCTTGCTGTACTTAAGTACATTTTTCATGTATCTGTACTTAAGTAGATTTCATCATGGGTACTTTTTACTTTTGCTCCACTACATTTTACATTAAGTATCTGTACTTTCTACTCCACTACATTTCTGTAATGCGTTGAATTACAAATTACATTCATGTCATGTTGCATTGCTTTTTCTCTTTTTTTGTTAGTTTGTTTGTTTAGTTTGAAAGTAATCAGTGGTGAGAGGGGAATTTCTCTAATTGGTCCATTGAAGCAATGCAAAGCAGGAAAGTACTATTAGACCCTCCTTCAAAAAGAAAAACAAAAGCGGAGCGATTCTGCATCACCTGGAGCATCAGCAGCAGCAGGCCCACAATGGATTCCACAATGGAGGAAATGTGCCACTCATAGCCTTATTTATTCAAGTTAACTGGTTCAAAAAATGACTTGTTGAGATTTGATAAAGGACGATGGTGGCAAATTTACAGCTTCTGTTGTCACAATCTGTGATGATGRACAGAGTCACACCAAGTGTGAACAGTGTCACAGAGGGTCAACACAAACTGCAGCATTGTTCACTAAAATCACACACCATTGATGTATTTAAAATATACACAGACACACTTCATAATATTGTAGACCATTAGGGAATACGTTAAGCAAGTACTTTTACTTTTAATACTTAAGTATTTTTAAAAGCAAGTACTTACTTACTTTTACTCAAGTAAAAATGTTGATGTGGTACTTTTACTTTTACTAGAGTACATTTTTGTCTGTTTATTTGTACTTTTACTTAAGTACAGTGTTTGAGTACTTTCTCCGCCATTGTGCGTTACCTCGCAAAAATAGTTTTGTTGTGCTTTGTTTCATGACTGGAATCCAGACTTCATGTTTTCTGATTTGCATATTGAAACTTTTATTTGAAAAGTGAGTCAGTTTGAAGATTTTAAATAGTTCATCCTTTTGCAGTATTTGGTAGATAAATTCAAATTAGTGCTGATAACATCTGGATTGTGCTGTTATGTGAAATCGCTCGACTTTTCCAGAGATGTTTAAAGTTTGTTTGGCTGCTGTTTGTGTTGTCTGCCAGCTGGAATCACAATGGTTTGCTGGTTAATGAATTATGCAATGGAAGAATAGCCTACCGAAGGCTGTTGTCAAGTTTTCTTCCTCTGGTTAACATTACACTCTTTACAACATTGACATTGATGGAGTTTCTTTAGCAATGATTTGATGCTAAAATAAAAAAAAAAACCCATCAAAGTCCAAATTCTTGTATAAAAGTCCTTTTGAGTGTAGACAAATTGAATTCATTGGGGTTTTAATGGTATAAATAATTGAGTGTGTGTGTGTGTGTGTGTGTGTGTGTGTGTGTGTGTGTGTGTGTGTGTNGTGTGTGTGTGTGTGTGTGTGTGTGTGTGTGTGTGTGTGTGTTGCTTTTTACAGATAGGAGAATCTAGAAGGGGAACAGCAGTTCATGGAAGACAAGAAAAAGAAGAAAGAAGAGAAGAAGAAAAGGGAAACCTCTCAGAAGGTAAATCATGTCCTGGTTTTTGTTGTGTTTTTTTTTTCATGAAAATGAGTCATAAGTTTTGTATGCTGTTTGAAATAAATGTGTTACTCCAACTAAAATCCCACTTTAATCATGTATATTAACATGTTAGTTCATCTAAAAAATGATGCTAAATTAAATGTCTCTAAATCAAAGAAACTCCCCTTGGTGGTACAGTTGGGAATCTAATTACTCCAGGGTGTATGCATCTACAATTAGACTCAAACTGGCCCAGGTGCTGTGCATGCTTCAGTTTGTGCACCTGGCTTTGACTTGGAACAACAGTAGGGAGGGAATGCTGGCAGAGAAGTTTAAACATTGAAGAATCTAGACTTAATAAATTCTTTACATTAATTAATCAATTATTCTGCAGACAATGGTAAATACTTCAGTTGTTTTTTATGTGACATAATAGTTCAGCTAGTACAGCAGAATAATAAAAAGCTAAAAGTGGAGATATGCTAATCGTCATAGCTGGAGTGGAGATCATATATGTTTGTATACTTTAAGAGACATTAAATAGGCTGGTTCAGCTAAAACCTTGGCTCATCTGAAAGGGATAGTTCAGATCACACCAAGAACAAATAGATCTGCTGCTGTCTTAAGACGAACTCAGCTTCAAAACCTTTCATGACATTTGCATTTCATGCAAACATTTTTTAGAAACCATTAGTTTAGCATTGCATGTTTATGTAAGAAACATCATCAAGAAGTTGCTCCAGAGGTGCTACTGCAAACTGCTACTGCTTTAGCAGTGCTTTTAAAATAATTATGGATTTCTGTAAATAAGCATTTTAAAGTGATATGAAATTTTCTAAGAGTTTACATAAAGCGCTTTAAACTGCAGGAGGTTGTTTTAATCCTGTAGCAGATAAATGTGGTCCCACTCAGACTAGCCATTAGCTCAACTGTGATGTTGATGTACACAGAATACTGTCATATCAGAGCTGCTCTTTTTTCATTGTCTGAGTTACAGTTTTAAAGCATATTTCTACTGAAAATATTATTAAATATCACACATTTGTCTCAAGCATTGCTTTTTTTGATACTGTGACTTGAAAATATTCTTCAGGAATTCATCATGGACTTGTCAAAAGTATTTTGATTTGTTGATATTATGTAGTAATTATTATTATTTTCCTTATTTATGTTTTCTGTCTTTTCTTTTAGGTGCCAGAACCGAAAATCAAAGGTAATTATGAGCTTCTGTTAATACTGTGTGTCTCCTGTGTTTTGCTATTAATAATGCTGTTTGTATTAAAAGTAGACGGTCAGTTTCTAAAGAGCACTCTTGCTTAGAGTTGTGCTCGCATTGTACACGTTTTACAGGTTTATTTGTTTGTTTTTAAGTATGTTTCATAAATACAATGTCTTTCTGTTTATTATAAGAAATGCTAACAGTGTTTCCCACCTTTTTACCTCTGTTTGTTTTTCAGTGCCAGAATCAGCCAAGCCCTCCGGCTCCCAGCCACTCGCCACCCCAGATTCAGTGTCCCCCAGCCCTGGCCCAGTCTCCCCTTCATCCCCGAGTCCCGGAGCTGGTGGGGGCTCGGCCCAAGTCCTTCCTGGTGGCGGGAACAATGCAAAGCAGTGGTCTGCTGTGGCCAACGGACAGCCCTCCTCCTCTCCCTCTGGAAGCCAAACCTCCCAGCAGCAGAGATACATGTCTAGAGAAGTCCCACCAAGGTTTCGCTGCCAGCAGGACCATAAAGTGCTACTGAAGAGGGGCCAGCCGCCGCTGTCCTCCATGCTGCTGGGGGGAGGAGGCGGAGGGGAAGCGGGTGGTGGAGGGGTTAGAGAAGGCAGTGGCTGGGTTGCTGCCTTGTCCTCCCAGGGTTCAGATAACCCCGTTACAAACACAGCTGGACATGCAGGTGGGTGAATTTGTCAGCATCCTTTATCAGTTGTAATGATAAGCTCTGTACACATGCACTGCTTTCCTGTTATCTGATTGCACCTGTTGGCATGTGACTTAGTTTTCAGAAACATTTTGTGACATAAATGAGACTGCTGGACTGAGTTATCAACACTAATCTGAACAGCCGAAATTATTACAAACAAAAGTGTAGAAACTTTGTTATTTTGACACACAGTCAAGTTGTGTAATAAAAAAAGATCACTTTACTAAACAATAGACAGCATCGTCTAGACTTCTATACTGTGGTTGTATGTAACACAATCGAATGCAACGCAATGTTTTTGTTCAGCATTTGAACATAAAAGAACTGTGTTAAACACTATACCTGAACAATTTTCTCTTTGAAGTTTTTGACAGTTTTATTTTTGTCTGCTGCCATTCATTAAAGTTTTATGGGCTTTTTTGATTGATATCAATTTTTAATTTTATGGTTTTATTTTAAGATCAGTTGTATTTTTATTTATTTTTATTTAACCCTTATTTAACAAGGCAAAACATTAAGAAGAATGTCTTATTTACAATGTCAGCCTGGCATAGTCAGCCAGTTGTAGTAGGACTTGCAAAGATCCTTAAAATGGCTTTAGACACCGCTGTGTGTAACAAGATCATCAGTGGGTATTAAAAATCCTAACGATTGACTGAATGTGTTAAGTTAATGGTTTTATTCTTGAAGGGGATATATCATGCAAAATTTGTTTTGTTTTTAGCCGTAAACACATCTGTTGTGTACTTGGGGTCTCTATGAGTGCAGAAAAGTTGAATTTAGTCTCTTCTGGTGCCCATTCAGCCCATTCAGTTTTCTGTATTTTCTGTGATGTTTTCTGAACTAGTACATCACAGTATTTGCTACGAATCTTTTAAATGAGGTCTGGGCTTACCAACCACACTTTCATTGTCTTTATTCTTCTCTGGCTCTGGGTCAGACTCTGGCTCCAACATGTAAGGCTGGATGGACAATTCTTCTGTTGTTCACGTATTTTAATTAATTTGTAAATAAAAAGTGTCTTTGCTGTTATATAGTGTTAAACCCCTCTATCAAACTAGAATAAACCTGTCTGTAAGCCACTTTACTTATACCACAACTGAATGATTTAAATATGAAAAAGGAGGATTTAAAAGCAGGGTATGTCTCCTTTTTAAAGAATCACTAGGGTAAGAATTGTAATGCGAGCCTGGTTCTTGTGTTTTCCACTGGCTGGTATTCTGTTGTGGCTATTAATTTAAGTGCTAAAATAATTTGTCCATGTTGTCAATGTTTTAATTGCACATTCAACTAACTTGAACTTTTTTTTGCCTGTAGATTCCAACCTGGGTTCATCCTCCCCTTCATCCCCCAACTCATCCTCATTATGTGTCGCTGCTCAGTCGTCTTCTACTACTTCTTCAACTTATGCAAATTCCACATGGGGGGCTGGCTCTAGCAGCCAGCCCTCTTCTCAGGGCTGCGGAAAGGTGATTGTGGACGGGACTGACCTGGATGACTGGCCTAGRATCCCAGCCGGGCCAAAGCTGAGTTCTGATGGGGCTGGAGGAGGGCTGCAGGAGCAGAACTGTCCCAGTAACAACAGTAGTGCCTCGTGGGGTGAGAGAAACATGCAGCAGAAGGGAGGAACAGGAGGAGGAGGAGAAGGGAACATGGACAATCCTTCCCCACTTCAGTCCGCTCCTCCCTCCTCTTCTTCCTCGCTTAGTGAATGTGCTCAGTCAAGTGGGGGTGCGTGGGTCTCCTCCGCCTCATCCCAGGTGGAGACGGGGACAGGCTCAGCAGCATTTCACAATTCCAAAGTCTCCCATCTTCTTCCTGGGCCTCAGGAGAGCCCTGTGGGTGYCAGTGGCAACGTCCCTGGTGCCAATTTCAACCCGAGTGCGAACCCCTCTGCATGGCCCGCCTTGGGGCAGAGTGGGGCCTCCGCTTCAGCAAACGACAGCTTTTCACTACACTCGTCCGTCACTTCCTCATTCTCTGCCAGCACCACTCTCATCACCACTCAAACACTTTCATCTGTGAATCAAACTGGTCCCTACCAGCAGCACACTGAAACAGCTGTGGGAGCCAAGGTTGGAGAGCAGCACTTAGGAAACCCAGGGTTGGATCCAGTTTCAGGCGGGGATGTGAGAGAAGCAGGACCAAATCAAGTGGGCGACGGCGAGGGGAACTCTGGGGTCATCTGTGAAGTTAAAGGGAACGGCAAACACTCTGGCTCTCCGTCTTCCTCTTCGGCTGCCTCTTCTTGGAGACCCATGCCTCCAGTGTCCTCTGAACTGAACGTAGGTGCCTCGCGGGCAGACGGGTGGGGTGCAGGTGGGACTGGAGCTCAGGGGCAGGAAGGGAACGTCTGGAGGTTTGGTCGTCAGGACGACAAGGCAGGGTGGAGCAAGGGGAATGGTGGAGGATCCGCTGCCCCGGTGGTATCTCAGGGAGCGTGGGCTGGAAGCGGTTCTGAAGCAGATTGGGGTGGCACTTCAGAAGGTGTGAGTAGGGGTAATTTAGCAATAGGAAGTGGAAGGGGAGGCGATGAGAGCAGCACTAGTGCAGACGGTGTAGGTGGCAGCAGTTTGGAGGACTCTGCTTCACCAAATTTTGCTACTATGACAAAAGCTTGGGACAATCAAAAAGGGATGGAAAGTGGGGAGGGAGCAGTTGGGGAGTGGGGTGGAGGAGGAGGAGGACCGGATGAAACCACGGAGGGAGGTGGAGCACGCTCATCCTCTAGTGGAGGTGGATCCTTAGCTGGAAGTGGCAGCGGAGGGAGTGGCGGTAAAGAGCGCTCCTCCTCTACAAACCATCGGTCCGACCCATCCTCCAACGCTGACGTGGCCTTACTTAGCATGCTCAGTCGATCGGACCTGGACCCCAGAGTTCTGTCCAACACTGGCTGGGGCCAGACCCAGATCAGGCAGAACGTGGCCTGGGACCTGGACACAGCAGGAGTAGGGAGCAGGAACGAAAGAAACCCGTCATCAGCAACCATGAACACTGGCACTAATCGCAGTTCTAGGTATTCATCCGAGACTGGTTCCATATCTAATGATTTATCTTCTGGCAGTCGCACAACAAGCTTGAACTCTGACTCTGCTACAGTCCGGGATGGTTGGGAAGGTGGTGGTTCACAGACCGCCTGTGGTCCTTTTACACCAAGTAGCACTATAAGGAAGCCAGGATCACCAGAAGACGATACACAAGGGAAGGCAGCTGGTGGGTGGGGTGATCTCCCACCTCAAAGTGAGAGCAAAGGATGGAGGAGTGAAGACCAACAATGGGGAGATCAGAGAGCAGGAAGAAAGAACTGGAGAGACTTTGAAGAAAAGGGTAGTGGGTGGAGAGATGGTCCTGAGGATAAAGGAACTGCAGGATGGAAGGGAACTACAGGAGGAGAATCAGGAGGTTGGGGAGGACAGAGTGGAGGGGGAGAACAGTGGGGGCAGAGAGACTCGACCTCCACTGGTGGTTGGGGAGATGGAAGAAATCGAGTCGGGAGCAACTCTGATGAGGGACCCGCCTGGGGAAATTTGGATGAAGGGGGATCCCAGCGAGGAAGATGGGAAGGAGGAGATGTGGGTGGAGGCAAGTCCCACCAGGACTGGGGGAGTGCCAAGCCCAACACAGCAGCAGCACCGATACCAAACAGCCAAGTGGCACCAATGAAAGCCCAAAATCAACAGCAGCAGCAATCACAAGGCCAGCATCCACCAGGAGGACCCATACAAGGAGGGTGGAACAGCCGGTCAGGCGTCGGAGGTGGGGGTCCACTATCAAAGAATCAGAACCAAAGCATGGGCTGGACCTCTGGCCCAATTCCCCAAATCTCTGGAGGCGGGGGTGACACCCTGGAGCCCAGTGGTTGGGAAGAACCTTCTCCGCAGTCCATCAGTCGCAAAATGGAAATTGACGACGGTACATCAGCCTGGGGAGACCCGACGTGTTACAGCAACAAAAATGTGAACTTGTGGGACAAAAACAGCGCCACACCGAGCCAGAACCAGGGTCCGCAGGGTCCACCATTGCCAATGCAGCAGCAACCTCCTCGAAGGCAGCACAGCACCAACTCAAACCCCAGCGGTGGTGCAGTGGGTAAGAATTAGGCGTATCAAACATCAGCATTGATTTTATAGTTTATAAAGTGTTAAACTCCTCTAAATGTCCAGGTATGTGGGGTGGAGCTGCACAAACTGTGGATAATGGTACAGCTGCTTGGGGCCATTCGTCAGATGCAGCAACAGGTTGGGGTGAACCAGATGAGCCCAGCAAAGCATCTGGCTGGAGGAACCCTTCACCCAACCCTGTAAAACCTGGTAAGTGGAAAGCTGTACAACTTACGTATCACGTTGCACAGGACAAGTCACAAACAACATGAAACACACCTGAGCATGAACATGTTTTGAAATCTTGTGGGGMMTTTTTTTCCTGCAGGCGGTAAGCCTGTAGAAAGCTGGGGAGGCAAGGGTGACAGCTCTATTGCAGCCTCGAGGCACCCCAGCTGGGAGGATGATGACGATGGTGGCGGAGGGGTCTGGAACAGCACGGGCTCCCAGGGAAGCGGCTCTTCTTTCAACTCTGGAGGCTGGGGTCAAACTCACGGAGGAAAAAGAGGCAACATCAAGGTGGGAACAGGAGCCTCTAGGAAACACAAACTACTTTCTTTCTTTATTTCTTTGACTTGGAGTAATGTTTTTAATTTTTTCCCTGAAGAGCGGACCAGGAGAGAGCTGGATGAATCCAGTGACTCGCCAGTTTTCAAACATGGGTCTTATGGTATGAGTTTTGTTTTATTCTATAATTTCTTGTTTCTATGAACATTTTTCAGCATATATTAATTTATCAATGCTTTTATATTGTTTTCTAACAGAACTTTGTAACCCATTGGAACACTTTTAATTTGTCTATTCTGAAGTGGTAGATCACCAGTTTCTGTTTGTTTCTCAGGGAGATGATCCAGGTGTTGACAAAAAAATGGAAGGAGACAAGAGAGGAATAACTGACTATAACGGAGAGATGCGGAGGGGTGGAAGAGGAGGTGGAGGGTACCGTATGCCTGGTTCCAAAGACATGGGTCCTGTTGACATGGGGCTCTATGGTGAAAAGGTAAAAAGTTTGTTTTTACTGCAACTTGTCTATATAAAGGTTGGGTGGGGAAAGTTGGCTCTGGTGAAACCTTTACAAAGATGATACGAACTTCTAGAAAGTATTATTTTAAATGTATTGTTTTGGTCTTTTAAGAAAGTACTAACATTTAGATGTACATTGTTGTAGATGGGTGGCCATGGAGCGTTTGTCGCAGGTGGAGGTGGGATGTCTCAGTCTCGAGGGATGCACCAGCCTGGCATGCATCCGATGAACCCCTCCCAGGGTTTACGTGCTCAAGTGCCTCATCAGTTCCTGTCTCCTCAGGTCAGCTTAAACATCTGGACTTACTAATAAGAGTTACTTGGTCATTGACAGTAATTATGTCTAACATTTGTTCAAAAAAGAGACAATACTTTGACTTCAAGTTTCATCATCTACAGGTGTCCTGATACCAGCATTTCTCAAACAGTAGGAGTACTTTAGTTTGGGTACTTGCCGATACAGAGTCTACCGAGTTAAAACTTAAACATTACACAATGTTTATAAAAACACTTTTTTTTTTTATTTAGGACTTGGTGCTAAATCAAATAATGATGTTTTTTCAATGAGAAATCAGGCTGAACACTCATTTCATCCAACTTTTACTTAAGTGAGGCTGGGGTATACAGATCAATCCAAGTAATAATAATTATACTAACCTTGAGTCATGCAGTTTGAGTGTTATAATTCTACATGTCTCCAGCTACAGAATAGAAGTCCAGGGGCCTCATGTATAAAAGGTGCTTACGTATAAAAAAGTTACGTGCGCCAGGTTCTACGCCCACGTTGTGATGTATCAAAAACAACATTGCTTGAAAGTGTGCGTAAATAAAATTTCACCCGCCGTGAGAATGTGCGGCAGCCACGCAAAGTTTTTCAGCCGACAGTTTTAACTCACAAAGTCACGAATCTGACCTGAATTCACAGAAGTATGACTTTATTGTGTTTTCTAGATGTAAGGAGCGTCTGAACACGGTGTCAAATTTTTTTTTAGTTTGAGTTTTTATTGTTTAAACTCGAACGATGATGAAACTGAACCCCGGGACTGAAAATCATTTAACCTCAGACAAGGAAATAGATCAGCCTAAAAATYATCAAAGAACCTCAGTCCAGTCTGTAAACTGTTTTTATATTTTTGTCACATAGTTGAAAACCTTTTGGGTCCTGGGCCGGAAAAACCAGACACATTACGTGCGTCATAAAAAAATAAATAAATATATAAAAAAGGCTGAAGAGAGGGAGTAAAATTGGATGCAAATGGTGGCTCACTGTACGGTAAGAATGATTTTTTTTTTTCTGTGTGTAGCTTTCTGGCTGATGCTGAGTTGAGTTATGGCCGGAGCGCAGCAGCTGCGCTTTGGGTAGATTCTCGCGCCAGGCGCGTGCACACCCTCGCCAGCTGTGAAGGTGTTCATATATGTCAACCCCTTTGGACGTTTTCCTGTCTAATGAGCCTCAAAAATCTATATTTTTTGCAAAAATCCGTAGGCCACCACTCGTACCCGCTCGTGGGGGTGGGGTGGGGGTCCGTCAGTGGCGATGACAGCGCCTGCTGTAACGCAGGAGGAAAGGAGAGAGGAGAAAGTGGATAACTTGATGTTTTTTCAATTAATTTATTTATTTTAGCGTCCATTCAATGCCGTGTTCAACTAAATAGACAACAACTAACCAGGCTTCAATGTCACATTTGGGAGATGTCTGTAAATTTCAGGAAAATCTCAGGCTTTGGTTATCCCGTGCGAATGCGCCAAATAAAACAGTGACACCCCACGACTTATTTAGACAGTTTTCAAACTCATTCTCCATTTAATTTATATTTTTCCTGCATCTAAAAATCATTTCTGATCCCACAGAGAGGATAATCGGAGGAGAATCTCACACTCTGGACACATTTYCATCTATTTTACATATTTAAATGGGGGCGTGTCAGGGGAGGTGTCTTACGTGCGCTAAGTTCCACGTTCATTGGGCTGTATAAAGGAAAGGTGCGCGGGAACATGCGTGTGCATGGTTTTTATACATCTGAATATTTTGGTGCGGCGCACTTTTCTAAATTTGTCCATACGTCAACTTTTAGTGTGAAAGCTGCGCAATCCTTTATGCATGAGGCCCCAGTTGCTTTGTCATGCTTGTTATAATTTTCCATGTCCTGGTTGACGGAGAATCCACAGAATGTATGATAGTAACGTTGGTTTCGGATCGTGACGATACTGAATGTACTGGATTGATAATTTGAGCATGTCATTTTATTCCATAAATACATGCTGCACAGGTGCGACCAGTCAGATTCAGATTCAGATGTTTTTTTTTTCTAGCCACTTCAGTAGAAAGCAGAACTGAATATTACACTGCTCAAAAAAATAAAGGGAACACTTAAACAACGCACGCTAAGTCCAAGTAAATCAAACTTTTGTGAAGCACATTCAACTCTGTACAGAACAAAGTGCTCAATGCAAATATTTCATTGATTAAGATCGGGAGTTAGCATGCYTTGTTTAAGTGTTCCCTTTTATTTTTTTGAGCAGTGTAGTTTCTTAGTTTCTTCATCATCAGTGACTCTTTTTTCTTCTTCAGATTCAGTTGTTAACAATGAACTAAACAAGCATGTCAGATAATTATTTAACTGACTCTGAACAATTGACATGCTAACATGTAGCATCTGTATTCAGTGTCCTGAATGTGATGTCACTTCATGCGGGTCACATCGATGTCATAAAGCACTAAAAGTCCACGCAAAAAATTTGGTATCTGTTCCAGGTATCAGGGCATTTTGAACAAGTACAAGTACTAAAAATGATTCCATCATTATTGGGACGCACGCGCTTATTGTTCAGGGTCTTACCCTAAAGAAATGTGATTTTTCAGTTAATTAAAATAATTACCTGATTTTATTTTATTTATTAAAAAACATCTTGGCAAGCCAGTTTACTCATGAAGACACTGGTTTCTAGCTTCCAGCCTAGAAAGACTTAGATTTTTAGCTTTGTTTTCATTATGATCATCCCATATGTGGCTGAATCACATATCCCACTTCATGCATCCCAAATGACTAAGACTTTATAAATTCTGTGTTTTTATTTCCCTCCCATCATTTGCGTCATAAAATGACAACACCCCCATATATGACCAACCTCATGTGACCTACAGGTGCCGGGCCCCATGCTGAAGCAGGTGCCCTCTCCTGGTGGCAGCGTGGGAGGAGTAGGAGGTGTCGGTGGCGTTGGAAGTGTCGGAGGAGTCGGTGGAGGAATGTTCCCGCCACAGATTTCCCCGCAGCAGCTTGCAATGCTCAGCAACATTAACCCCCACATGCAGCAGTTCCAGCTGGTACGTGCTAAAATATGACGATGCTCACTGATCAACTGATTCATCACACTGAAACGAATAATCCTTCAGTGACTGTTTTTGTGTGTGTTTGAACACGTCTTCATACTATCTTTGTAGAGAACTRACTGTGAGTTCATAAAATGTTTAATGTTTAAGGATAAAGCTTTGCAAGTATGTTCTTAACATTTGTGCTCATCAACCCATAGGCTTGTCAGCTTCTGCTACAACAGCAGCAACAGCAACAGCAGCAGCAGCTTCTGCAGAACCAGAGGAAGTTCCCTCAACCTCAGCCTCTCCGGCAGCAGACAGACCCACAGCAGGTGAGCATTTTATTGTATTACACCTTTAGTATCGTGTGATTTGAGTTGGACCTGAAAGGATCCCATTAAGTTAAATATCAAAAAGAAAATCTTTTATTCAATGCTTTGTTTAATCTGATTGACTGTGTACTTCTTGATGGTCACCATGTTTCACATGGGCAGTTATTATTGGCGTGAAACGTGTATGTTATGTACAGTGGAGGAACAGAAAAAAGAACAATGGTTTGGTATTAAGCAGAAGGCGCATTCAGGCTTTACAATAAAACCAACAAGCAAATTCAGCATCCTGGATCATCATGTACTGTATTTTCTAGAGAAAAGGTTGCTTTGGAGTTTAAGTCGCGCCTGACTAATCACATCACAGCAGACATTTAATCTGGAATAACAAACAAAACATAGCTCCTGCCCAGGATGCCGAATAACCTTAATTATCATAGACTGAAGATATGAGAGTAACTTTATGTGAATCGTTTGCAATGATTGTAATTTTTTTTCCCCACATGAGTTCAACTAAATAAGTGCAGCAAGATACCAAAAAACAAGTTGCCAACAACAAGCTAACATTATTAGCTTACCGTCCTCCGTGTCATCCTGCCCTCTCTTCTTAAGCGTCATAATTCTGGATGGTTTCATACCAAATTTGGTACTTTCCTTCGAGTTTGGTGTAGACCATTATTGTTGCAATTTAAATGAAATAAGATTTGCGCGTTTGAACCATTTTGATCCCCGCTGGTGTCTACAGCAAGGCGACTCTCTGCGCAATGTAAACACAACCAGCCGGGCCCAATGCCAGAATGGGAAATTAGGATGATTTATTCCCCAGAACTTGATATTCAATTGTGTGAAAATATTGAAATTTATTGTGGTAGTACATTATCAAATATTCTGTCAAAGTTTACTCCACTGTATAATAAGACCCCCCAAATTCATAGATGATTTTTGGTGTTAATTTTTTTGTATTATGCATACATATATGCTGTATATGTAAAACTAAATGTGTAATTTAATTATTAAAATGTCCTCGTTGGTGCTTGTAGTTTGGGAAAACAAAAATAATAAAAATTTAGGAACATAAAATAAATATTGGCAATACTGATGTGAGATCTCCTGTGGCCAGATGCTTTAAAAACAGGTGACGATTCTTGTTTCTTGAGTTTGCATGGTGTAGTTTGTTAATTTAGAAAGGGATGTGATAAAAGTGAGATTTGTTATTATTATTAGACATTACTTTTAAATGATCTACTTCAGTCACACTGTCAGTCACACTACAGACTGAAATAAACATGAGGTTAACACTAAGTATTCTGTGATATTTTTTAAACTGTTTCTATAGTATATCTTTCAAAGGTGGAAAGGATCTTTAACATGTTAACTTGACGAGTCATTTGTTCATTTAGTGTGATTTTTTTTTTCTCTCTCTCTCTCTCTCTCAGCTGGCAAGGATCATGGCTATTCTACAGCAGAGGCAGCATCAGCAGGTTGGAGTTGGGGGCGCAGCATCAGGAGCAGGGAGCTCCAAACTATCTCCATCTCACCTGGGAGGAGGCCTGTCCAAACAATCCATGGTAGACCCCCTTCAACATACAGGAGTTGGGGGTCCTTTAACAGACATTCATGCCAAAACACAAGGGATGTATGCTGGTGAGTCCAGCTGTGTGAAATGAATGTTTAAATGTGATCTTGGACTCACCAACTTGTCCAAAAGATATACGAAGCTGAGATGTTTTTTTTTCTTGCCAGGGCTGACACCTGGTGGTAATCTGTCTTCACTGGAGCTCAGCCCCATGATGGGAGGCATGAAGGACATGGGTGGACAACAATCTCGCTTCAAATGGATGATGGAGGGACATTCTCCCGCACCCTCACCCCCAGACTCAACCCTTCATAAGAATGGTAATCTGACAGATGGTTTGCACTATGGTTTTCTTTTAATGTGTTGAATCCACACCTTGAGGGTGGACTGTTGTGATATTAATCATTCACGGTGTATCTAAATGAAACCCAGTAAATTGTTAAAGTTCATTAACTGTCTATTTAATCATATTTCACTCCTGTTTTTCTTCTGGTCTCCAAGGCCCTCTACCCAGTGGGATAAAGGTTAGAGGAGGGTCTCCCTACTCCCAGTATGAAATGCTGGGCAGTGAAGGTTTAGGGATTCCACCTCAGGGCTCTGCAGACAACTGGCTCCGGACACCTGGTAGTAAAATGGGGAAAAAACCTGCAACATCAAGCTGGCCTCCAGGTGACTATATCTGTCTCTGTCACTTATGAACCATGAAAAACTATAATCAGAGGAGAGAGGGGCTTCAGAAAACACAACGTTATTACTGTATTACTAAAAATCAAACTGGTTTAATGTAGACTTAGACATATTTCATTAATCCTGGAGGAAAATGACTGCAGCAGTGCTTCAGCATTGATACAAAAGTAATTACATAAATTTAGAAAATGCAAACCACTCAAWTTATACTGTATTTATAATATATTTATGATGCAATATTCAATGAAAATACAAAACTAAAATACCCCCTCCCCCTTAAAAATAACTACTTAAAAATAAAATAATTCACTTTTAAAGTAAAAACAAAAATACTGTTCAAAATACAACAGGTCTTTTTCATTTATAAATCTACATTTATACAGATACAGATTTAACATTCAACCATTGTGTCAAGATTATTTCATACAGGATTTACTAGAACAGTACCCAACCAGTTTTAGGACTTTAGAGCAAAATTTTCATCACTTGTTTTTTTTTTTATCTAAAGCCTGAAGAGAGAGCAACAACAGAATGTGTCTGGAAACCAGGATGACTTACTTCTTTGACTGTTGGGGTGTTTACGGTTTGAGTGACTCAGTGATGTTTGGTTTGACAAACAACCACAGCTGATAGTTTTGTGGGAAAACAAACTCCATCACTGTTTGTGGTCAGAAGATTAACTGAATGTGGTCAGAGTGAACACAAAGTGGCAGCATATTACAGTGCATATTACAGAGGAGCAGCACATCAGAAGGTTACTTTACAAAAAGCTGTTGTATTTTGTACAGGCTTCGCCCTTTAAAAATGGCTGCGACAAAACCCCTGAAAATCTGAGGTACCAGAATGTAACCACTGCTCTTGAGTTAGGATTAGAAAGATGCAGTATTCACCTTTCAGTATTTAGAAACAAAATGGAACACAATGACACCTGTAATATTTTGTTTTAAGCCTCTGTTTCCTGTTACCACCAGTTGACAAGATTATCTAACGGATCATAAAAAATACAACGTGTTTGGGGGAGGGTTTTTTTTTTTGCTACTTCTATATTCTGGGAAATTCCTTTTTTGGCTTCTGTCTGAAAACTAGAATACAGACATTGTTTTACTCAAACATTTTACTGCTGGCTTTTAAAAGTGAATTAACAGAATTAAGTGTTGGTTTACATAAATCTTCACTGTGTTGGGCACATGATGTGGAGCATTGTAATTAATGTTAAACATTTTAAAATGTGTATGTTTATTAAGACATTTAAAGAAGATAACTGGGAGTATTTCTAGGCTTTAACGTCTCAGTCTGAGTTATATTTAAGTCATTTATATAGTTTTAATAAATAAATACTTGGTTTTGTTCTAACAGAATTTCAGCCTGGTGTGCCCTGGAAAGGAATACAGAGCAGTGGAGATCCGGAATCTGATCCCTACATGACCCCTGGTAGTGTTCTCGGCTCCCCGGGATCCCCAAACCTTAATGACCCCGACCACCCGCTACTGCGAGACCATATAGGTATTTTAGCATATGTGCTAAAATTTGTTTAACTGAATAAGGTGGGAGTCTCAGGAAGAGATCTCCAAAAATCAACAACAAGCTTTATAATGATTTCTAAAGGTAAAAGTACATTTGTCATAACTGTTACAATAAATGGGAATTGTTGGCTTAAAGAGATAAAAGGAGAATAGTACTTTTTTATATATTGTAACATTGGTTAAATATAGTAGCAAGTTTGTGAATTTCAGCCATCGATGACCAAAATTGCAAGAGTGGATCACTTTTCTTTTTGAGGGTTGGAAAAGGGAACCATAATTTGTTGCAGACAGTGAAGAATGCATTAGAAACTAACATTAGAAATGATGCTTTGACAAACAAAATGACAGAAACCACATCAAATATTACTTTTAGAGCTGGTAAGTTTATGGTGCTGTTGCCAATAATAACTTTATTCATATGTCAAGATTAACACAGTTATACACTGCTGTTAGCAGCGTAAAGCTTTAACACACCAGGAAAGCTTTTTCTCAATGTTTTTAGGTTMGTTTTGAAACACAGAAAGGTGACGTCATAGTAGGAAGACGCTATATTGATACGAAATGTTTGAATGCATCTAAATGCTGCCTCTCTGCCGACTTCACTGCAACATTTAGAAGCTGACGACCTGCAGCTGCGATGATAAAAATGTCATCAAACTGTTGCTCCTCTAAAATAAAAACTCGCCGGACTGAATGTCGGATTAAGCTGATGTAATGTTGTGTTTTGTAGGGCAAAACCCCTCCCTCAACACCTCGCTGCCTTCATCTGGTGCCTGGCCCTACAGTGCCTCAGACAGCTCCCTCAGCAATGCACACAGCACAGGTTCTTGAACTTTTCCTCCTTTTCCCCTTCTTGCCTCTTGGCTTTTGAGTTCTTTGTGCTTTTACTATGATTGTATTTTCACGGTTTATTATGCAGTACTTAATCTGCAAAGATGTCATCAGTGGTAACTGTAGTGCGTCTCCTCTGATTTGTTTTTGGAACTTGTTTTTACCCCTCCCTCTCTTTTCTCTTGCCCACTCGTCACATCTCTCTCTCTCTCTCTCTCTCTCTCTCAGGAAAGTACTCTGAGTACAAGCCCAGCTGGCCTCCGGAGCCCATCGGACAAAACAAAATGTGGAAGACCAATCGCAATAGCTCACAGCTGCCACGCCCCCCTCCTGGCCTAACCAGTCAAAAGCAGGCCTCCCCCTCCCCATGGGGTTCTGCAGGTCCAAGATTGGCCCGGAGCTGGGGAGGGGGTGGGATGAATCAAGAGTCAAGATTTGGGTCAGGTACTTTTTGCAGGGAGTTTGTTTCATAACCGTTTTGTCAGCTGTGGACATAAATTTTATGGTGTTCTGAGGAGGAATTTTTAAATCATAAGATGACTCCTGTCAGACTGTTTATATAAAATTACATTTATGTATACATTGAGAAGTGTTTATTGTTAATTTCCTCCTTGTCATAGTTTCCATTTGTCTTTTTGTTTCCTGTAACAGGCTCAGCTTGGAGTGATGGTGTTAACTCCAGAGGCAGCTGCTGGTTGCTGCTGAGCAACCTAACCCCTCAGGTAAGAAAAGTAGAAGCTGTTATTAGATGTGGAAATGATAAAACGAGATTAGATGGGCAACTAACCACGTTTTAACTTGTTTATGAACTGGTACAATAAGAAATATAAAAATAAGCAATGCTATGCTAGAAAATTGGAATCATATTTGAATTCCAAAAATTCTCTATATTATAGAGAATTTTCACAACTAGGTCTTTAATAGATGTTATAGAGTCTATAACATCTATTAAAGCCCTAGTTGTGATCGGTGAAGTAAACTACCTTCATGTGGAGCTGAAAAATCTAAAATAAAATTAATTTGTTTGTCAACAGGGAAATTTGCAATGTTTTTCCAGAAAAGAGAACAAAAATCAGTAAAATACAATAAACAGCATCTAAAATAAATCCACACTAATCATAAAAATTAACTGTAAAAAGTTGAGTGAACTATAGAAATAAATATGCATGTACAAAATTAGTTTTCTGTAATATCTTTTAATGTACATCAGTAATAAATACTACAGCACAGTTCTGGACCAGTGACTCAGACAAAAAAAAAAGTAAATGATGGTTGTTGCCCTGCAAATAGATTTGAGTTTTAAATTAGGGGTGTCCCGATACCAGTTTTTTTCAAGACCAAGTACGAGTACTTCAGTTTAGGTACTCACCGATACCGATACCAAGTAGCGGGGTTAGGGTGGATTATCTGTTCAACTCGTTGAATATTAAACAGAATGAAAATGAAATGCAATTATCATGCAAAAATTGATGGGTAAATATGTTTGACAATAAAAAGTTAGTGCAAACTCTGCCAAGTAGATAAGTTGGTATATATATCACACCATAACTTTTGAAACCATTTATTTTATTTCAAACAGGCTCTTTTTTATAAGGCCACACTCCCTCTGAATGTATTAACAAAACAAATACTGCAAAACAAATGCTGTTGCATACATTAAAAAACAAAAGTTATTTTTATACATTTTCCTCAGCATGCAACTACCAAATTTAAATTAAAATGTAAAACGTAAATTTTATACTCTGCTTCAGTCTTAAACTTAAAAAAATGACTAATAGTAATAAAGTGCAGTAAATTTCAGTTCAAACTTAAATGGAACAACTAAAACAAAGTCTCAGAAGAACCACAGTGAAAAATAAAATGCTTTTACAACAAACTCCCTTCCATATTCTGCTTATGTCTTAGTTTGTTCTACAAGAAAGAAAAAACAGCATTGAAGTTACTGCAACAACTGCTGCATAGTGCTGTTTATGAAGGCTACTGCTAGCAGCAGCAAACCCTTTGAATTCTTTGTCATGTCTTGTCCTCAAATGTTGAATCAAATTGCTGGTGTTAAAACATCCAACTTTCCCTCCTCCCCTCGACAGTTTAGCAGAGCACAGCAGACAGTCTGCTTGTTTGGTGTCCTCGTGCCGACCTTAAAATATCTCCAAACTGCCGACGTTACTTCTTCTTCTTCTCATCGTTCTTCTTCTGTTATTCGGGGGTGCGGTCGGAAATAACTTGTCAGTGCGTTAGCGCCCCCGCCTTTGTGCAGCGCAGCACAGGAGGAACAAAAAAGGAGACAAAAGCGGTATCGGTTAAGAGTATCGGCCGGCTTTTACGAGTACGAGTACTTGATGCTGGTATCGGGACACCTCTATGTTAAACCATTAGGAGACATTAAATATTCATGGTTTTTGATGTTTTACTGTTCTGTTCTAATTTAGACATTCTAAAGTCTGGCACAAATGAAGTGAATTTTGTAATGCCATATTAAAAAGGATACAGTATGTTATAAATGAACTGAGCTGTTTCTGTACTATTGTTGAAGTATTATCTGAAGTATGAAGGTTCAATAAAAAAGGATTTATTTTTAATTTTTTATGAAAATGAAGCCGGGCAGGATTTAAGCTGTAAAGCTTTAAACTGCTGTGCTCGCTCATCTGGATTCTGCTTCACTCTGCTTTATGGAAATCACTCAGATTTACATAATTGGATTGTAAAGTTGGATGAGCCATTTAATCATTTTAGAGTTTGCACAATGTTTATTTTCCTGTTACAGTTAAATAAGTGTTGATCAGAATCGATGACGCCACTGAGTCTCATCTGCATTATTAGAGCAGAGCTTTTCACATCACTATTATATGATTGTTTATGTTAGACTTCTTTCTGATTCAGTATTTGTTGAAGAATAATGTAAATGTTTTACATTTTACACTGAATTTTATATACTAAACTTAGTTTTTCTTTGAACAGATTGATGGCTCCACATTGAGGACTATCTGCATGCAGCATGGTCCCCTGCTGACCTTCCACCTGGGCCTCACCCAGGGCAGTGCTCTGATTCGTTACAACAGCCGACAGGAAGCAGCCAAGGCCCAGAGTGCTCTGCACATGTAGGTTCACTCGTCACCTCACCAGTACGCAGACGTTAACGATGAATGTTCCTGTAATAAATTAAAATAATGTGATTTAATTTCCTCTTAGGTGTGTCCTGGGCAATACCACAATTCTGGCTGAGTTTGTAAGTGAAGAAGAAGTCGCACGCTATTTTGCACATTCCCAGGCCGGAGCAGCTGAAGGCGTCGGCACAGGAGGAGCGCCGGGCAGCGGGGTGGCGCCCGGTTCGTCCGGAGCGGGCATCGCCGTGAGCAGCGGTGACCGCAGCTCCCCGGGGAGTGAGCGAGCAGCAGTGGGCGCGTCTTCTGGGGGGAACGGAAGCGGTGGCGCTGGAGGGGAAAGCGGAGCAGGGGTCCTAGCTGGTGTCAGGTCCTCTGGCTCCACTTGGCAGGGTCTTGACGGTACAGGCACCTCTTCGGAAACCTCCTCGGCCCAAGGACCCGGGCTCGCGATATTTTCCCAGTGGAGCACCAACGGGGCCGGGGAGGGAGGAGGTGTTGGAGGAGTTGAGTCTGCGAGGTCTGGGCTGTGGGGCGGTATGAGCACAGGATACTCGAGCAGCAGCCTGTGGGGGGCACCACAAATGGAGGAAAGACACCAAATAGACAACTCAGCTGGATTGTTGCCTGGCGACCTGCTGGGGGGAGGAGCCGATTCCATCTGATTAGCTCCCTCCATTTGTGCAAGTGGGTTTGGACACACTGATATGGCATACACTGGGATACATATGTACTTACTATGGCACACATAAACACATTTACATGGTATGCATAATAATGTACTGAATACATACACGTGCATACTAGTATGCATATTATTGTGCACAGGTATACAGCAGAAATGTGAGACATGCTTACACACATTCTCATGGCCAGACTTAAGCTATTATTAAAAAAATCAAATGCAGGGACTGTTAGATGTGTATTCAGCCTTTTTTTCCACAGATGAAGATTTCAACTGCTTAGACTTGAAACCTGAAAAAGAATGAACAGTCAGTAAGTCTGAAAGACTTGACTGGATTGCAACGTGCTTAGTAAAGTAGGAGACTTTTTAAACCGATTTACATAAACATGCACACACCAAATACAGAGAAGCCTTCAGACAGATAGGCACTGTCAACAGCATTACCTTCATTACATGAGAATTTAAAGTACTACAGAGGTTAAACAGTGCAGTTTTGTATTCACATCCCGTTAAAGACAGAGATTGAACCCAAACACATGCAAACAGCTCTGATTGACAGCAGAACTGTATCTTACTGTGTATGTTTTTTTTTTCAGTTTGTTTGTACGTATGGTTTTAATTTTTTTGAGCAGTGAAAAGAAAAAAGTTTTGAAACGTCATTGATTTTGTTTTCAAAATGCTGACCTCCTACTGTTGTATCTTGCGCACTCTTTTTTTTTTCCTCTGTTATTCGTTCTTGAACATGTTTGTTACTGTTGCAGTGATACATGTTAAAAATTGCTGGCAGTTTCAGGCTATGATGCATTTCTCCATGTGTCGATACCGTTCTCCACGTGTGGTATCCTACACACCGAGTATGAGTGAGACTGAGACCAAGTTAAGTGGATTAAACCACCACAGTTGTRGTGCGTGTGTGTGAGATTGTGTGGATAATGTGTGTGCATGTTAATGCCTGTCATAATGTGGGCAAGGCTGCTTACTATACAGAAGGTCTATACAAAAATGTTATGAGTGCATTCAATATACTGCTGACTGTGTGTTAAGAAATATTGGCACTAATGCTTTTTTTCTTTCTGATTTGAAGTTTTTTTTTTTAAGTAGACGTCTTTTATATTGTCTGACCTGCAATAATTAAAAAAGAACATTTTAGTGACACAAAGAGCTGAAGGCATATGCGTCAAGAAAATGGACATGCCAAATCTTATTCAATTGTGTGGAGTGGGGGAGGGCGGGGTGGGACGGGTTGTTTACAAATACAGAGTAAGCGTTACCGTATGTTTTTAATGTTTCGTTGTTGTGTATTTGTTTTAAATTAAGACAGGCTTTAACACTCCTGTTCAGTGTTTTCATTTTGAGATTTTACAAAGGAAAACTTTATTTAAACAATGAGAACAAGATTAATAAATAAAGATGAAAGTATTGGCTTCTAAATGTTGTCTGTTGTTTTTTTTTTTTTTTGTTTTTTTTGTGTGCATGTGTTTGAATTGTATTTTAAAGCAGGGGTTTTCAAACTTTTTGGGTTTGGGGGTCCTGGGACCCTGGTTTGAGAACCTCTGATGTTTAGAGACTTGACAGGGCAGTAATGCTGAAGTGAACTCAGCTTTGTGTTGTATGGTACACTGATCAATACAAAGGGAAAAAAAAAGACTGTACATATTGTATTATTCTATTGAGACAAGTCTACTACTGTCATGTCATTTTTACAATGTTTACTGTTGTGTATAGAGCAGGAGTCTCCAACCAGCAGCTCGTGAGCCCATTTAAATTAGCTCTTCAGTGCTTGTGAAAAATTAGAAGCTAAATTTAATTTGTCACCGGTCGAACAAACCTTCATTTATTTCCAATCAATCTATAGATGTCCCTTCCCCTTGGTTGTCAGAGATTTTAGGGCTCAGTATGGTTGATCGGCAGATGACGTGCTGTTACGTGGTTGTTTGGCGGTTGTTTTCTCACACCTTTCATAGCTTCTTGAGACACACTGCAGAGCTCCTGGGAAACCACTCCTGCTGAGGTATATGTCACTGCACGGGGTTTCTTCCCACTGGAGTCTACATGTTTTTTTGTGCAAAGCAAACATATTCCAATGGTTTAAGTTTAAAATTAAACGTTGCAAAAAGTAGTTCTTGGACAGTTTTATTTTGTGAAAGTAGCMCTTCAGCAAAAACATGTTGGAGACCCCTGGAATAGAGTCACTAAGTGATAACACCATGTTTTGTCCGATGCTGTTAGTTCACGTCACTAAAGGGTCACCGTTCAGAAAGCTCTACTTCTGTTTGGCAGAATTTTTTTTTTTACTAAAAGTCATTGGGCCTCATGCAAGAACATGTTCGTATTTTTATCCTAAATTTCTCTTACTTTTGTTCGTACAAAGGGTTCGTGCGAACATGTCACGTCAGATTCAACAAACACTTCTATCTTCAGGAAACGTGCATAAATGAGCTGCGTAAATTCCACCTGTTCGTATCCAGCTGCTCGTGCACGCGAGAGGAGATTAGCATAATTACCACCCCAAAAACACCATATAAGGCTATGTTTCCTGCCTCAGATATCAGGAAGTGTTCATTCATGAAAATGGCAGCAAAAACTTAAAAGAAAAACTTTACGAGTTCAGAGYTTGAAGTCCGTCTGTCAGAGATCCAGAAAAGAAAATCTGTCATTTTTAGCAGCTCAGCTGTGGGATAAAAAGAGCTGCTAAAAGTATAAACAACTGTGTTGAATCATTTTCATTTATTCAGAAGCCGCAGGACTTGATCATATATCCCCTCTGGCCTGGGAACGTCTCGGAGTCCCCCAGGACGAGCTGGAAAGTGTCTCTGGGGAGAGCGGGGTCTTTCTCCTGCTGCCCCCTCCACCGCACCTAATAGCAGATAAGCCGGCCGGACGGACAATTTATATTGTTAGTCTAAATTATTACATTTAAAATTATAACTCTAATTCAAGCAGAATAGCCTATTGTCAACATAATTATGGAGTGTGATTTATTTTCAACTCAAAATATCTTCAAACTAACGAAATATAAAGTTATTAATAAAGAAATCCCGTCTGGATAACAGCAGACTGACTTCACGTAAAATATACGACAGGTCTGGACCACTCGTAAATTTTGTTCGTATCTGAAAAAAATCGTAGAATACGAAAACATTGGTYAATGCCACAAATTCTCCTAAATCACTCGTACGCACAATTTAAGAACAAATCTGTGCGTACGAACGGTTCTTGCATGAGGCCCATTGAGATCAGCATGATGTATTTTGGRAAATGTGAGATGGACCTTGTGTGTTCTTTTTTTTTCTTCAGCAGTGGTTTTTTTCCTTGGAGCATTTCACATTTTTACCCTTTTTCTCTCTCACTATTGAAAATTCCAACCTTATCTGAAGTGCTTAGATGTTCCTCCGGCCTCCTTTGGGAACCCTTTGGTTGGCCAGCTGCTCCTGCCTGGAAATGTTCACCACTGTTCCTTCTTTTCTCAATTTGTGGACAACCGATCTATATGTCAGTGACTTTTTGATTTTATAGGTCTGAGTGTGGCTTAGTAAAACTGAACTCAGCTTTTCAAATAATGTGTTTAATCACAAGTAATGGACTCATACCTGGTGTTTTTATGTTTCGATAATTTTCTTCCTTTTGTCCCCCATTGCCGAGGCCGGGAACTTAGAAATGCTCTCAATTCGTCTGCTTGTCCGTTACAATTTCAGAAAGCTGTAACTTTCACATAGAAAGGCTAAAATACACCAAATTTGGTATGAGAATTCCACATATTTCAGCCAAACAGCACACTATGGTCAATCCTAATCCACCCCACTAAGGAAATTCAGTACAGTTGTGGGGTGGAGGATCGTGGCCTAATTAGACATCATGCAGTTGGCATACATTTGGCTCTAAATTCCATATAGTTGAGCCAATCAGCACATAATTCGCTATGGTCAAWACTAATCCATCCCATCACTGGAATGCAGTCCAATTTTTGGAGGGCGTGGCCTAATTAGACATAGGTTGTCTCTTAATCACACATACAGTACATGATCCGATCTCAACCAAATTTTGTGTGCATCATATGGGAGGCCTGCTCAACACGTTTGTGTCATTGTTTGACAAGATCACTTTAGCCCCCATCCGTCCAACTGTTCACCCTATGAGATTATTTAAATAATGAAGGTCTGTGATGATTCCAACAAAACTGCTTGTTGGTCACTACTGAATGGCGACGGAGAACATCAGTTGGCGTTAAGTTCTATCTTGTAAATAAATCATTAAAAAAATTATTTTGTATATATTCAAGTTATTTTTATCTGATATTAATTTTTGTAAGGGCACAAATACTTTTTACAGAATTTATTATTCTATTTTTTATTGTGCTCTAGAGAGATTGAAATAACAAACAAGTCCTGTGTAGTAAATAAACAAGACTACTCTCTCTAACATTGTCACTCAGCTTACTATGTGGCATGAAGAAACTGGAAATTCACTGAATGGTGAAACAGGGAGAGGGCGTTTTTAGGTGTGACGTTCCCCTTTAATGACGCTGGCCCAACTTGCAGAGGGTGACATCATCGACGTTGTGAACACGCACGTTGTTAAGTAACGAGACTGGAAAAGGGGGCGGGGACACGGAGTTGAGTAGAGAACGGCCGTCATAGCCACTGGAGCTTCTCAGGGACTATCAACAGGGAGCGAAGCCGACGACGGAGCGTAGAGCTGAGGGTATGAGAGCTGCCAGAATCCGCTCCCATCCTCCTCTGGGCGGTCTTGTGTCCGACTGACAACCATCGGATCAGAACCTCCACTTCACCAGCTGTCGGACGAACCTGATATCGGGTGAGTGTTGGGTCGGGGAACCAGCGAAACCAAGGGGGAAAGGGGGCCCGATTCGACCGAATCGGAGTCTCCTTTTCACGGCTTACGGGAGAGGGGGAGGGGGCAAGTAGATGGAATACACAGGCTAGTGTAGGGCATATAATGATTGGGCATATGATGATTCAGTTGAGAACATAATACAGAATGTGGCTTCATGTGATAAACTAAAATCAAGCTCTTATTCCTCAAAAAAGGAGCAGCACGTAAAATTTTATTTAACGTTTTTCTACTAGCTTAGCAGCTAACAGTTAACTTACGTGAAATTCCTGCGTTTCGTGTTTTTTCTTTAACTCAACCTAGTTAAGCTCACGACTTTTTGATAAAATAACTGCGCATTTAAAAAATAAATAGGCGCTTCCTAACATGGGCCAAAAAATGTAAGTGGTAGTAGAATTTTCCATTGTTAGTGAGAACTGAGATACGTGGTTCACGTATAGTTGCATCGAATTTGTAACATGCTAGGTTATATTGTTTGTGTACTGACAGCTGCGTAACACAGTTTCGTGTGATTGCGAAATATTCAGTTTGAGTCTCAGTCAGATGCTGCTATTCTCTTTAAAGGGCTAGATTTATCGGATGCATGTCCAGAAACACGAGTGCTTTAACTCTTTAGGTCATCTCTGTGAGGTATAGGAGCTTACACCACAATGCATCTACTCCTTGGAACATCATGTCTCCACAGCTACGATAAGACTCCCCCTTAATCAACAGATGTGTACTGTACAGTCTTGACCAATCCAGTGTCCTGGCTGTAGACGATTACAACCGTAATAGCACATGTTGTTTTTCCTGTGCAGTGTGACAGGCTAATTCCCTCTTGCTTCACGTTACATAGGCTGGCTCTAAATATCAAATGGCAAATTTGCCTGAAAGCTTGGACTATGAAGGAGATTAACCCATAAGGTATTTTTACAATGAACACAGAAGTCTGTAAATTAAAGCTCAGTCTTGAGGATTCAGTAACTGTGTTGAACTTTACGTATCACTGTTCCTCTACTGAGCAATTATTCACTCAGTGTTTAGATTTGTGGGTAATGTTGCTCAAATCTGTTTTTTTGTTTCAACACACCAGCCTCAGTCTTAATGTAATAGACTTTAACTCATTATTGACCCAGATTTGTCACATCTTTTATAAAAATCTGTCCTTCAGTTTAAGTTAACTATAATCTTGGGCGTTCAACTTCCTGTACATTTGATAGATTGAGTATTTTTTTCTGAAATAAATAACATTTCAAGATGTCTGCTCTAGCTCATCAACATTAGCTAACGCAAAGGGATAAATCAGTTTTACTTATGTTAAGCTAAAATTTGGTGTGCTAGTGCAGTGGTTCCCAAACTTTTTATCTGCTGACCCACAAAATATCCATGGCAAAAACTTGTGACCCCAAATATTACTGGTCTGAGTACACAAACTTCCCCAGACCCACGACAAAAGAGAGAGACTCCCCCAGACCCACGACAAGAGAGAGAGAGACTCCCCCAGACCCATGACAAAAGAGAGAGAGACTCCCCCAGACCCACGACAAAAGAGAGAGAGAGACTCCCCCAGACCCACGGTAAGAGCGAGAGACTCACCCAGACCCACGATAAACTCGTCAAGACTTTACCTGTAGCTCCCAAAAATAACAGGAAACAACGCACCATCTGTGTTTTAACAAAACACCCAAAAAACCTGTAGCTGTCCCAACAACTCATGAGGAAAACTCTAAACTGTCTGATTTCCTCCCCGCTGCGCTCTGACTGTCCCCTCCTTACACACACACAAAGACACGTTTGTTCTTCTATCCTCATGGGGACTTTGCATTGCATTGACTTTCATTCATTTACCAGTATTTTCTATTACCATTTGACCCTAAGCCTAGCCTACACTTTACCTGGGATGTGAACTGGGCTTATGTCCCCATAAGAAACATGGGTCCTCACCAGGCTGTGTAGTTTGCTTCATCTCTAAAGAGATGCTGCTCTTTAATATTGTTTATTTACTGTCTTAGTTGTGTGTGGTGTTTTAATTTACATTTTGTTGTTCTTTGGTGTTTTTTTTAATTCAAGTGCATTTTTTGTTAGAGACTGAGAGTCCACTTTGTTAAACATTCTTTAAAAATTAAAGCTTATTGATTAATTACACTTGCATATTACGCTTTTATAATTATTAGTTGTTAAATGGTCACCAGGCAGTATTATCGCTTTTCGCAATAATTTGTGAGACAATTAATCGCCCAGCAAAATTTGTTATCGTGACAGGCCTATTTTAAATACACTAACCTCACTCCTTTGTAACAAGCCATAAATGTAATTAATTCAGAAAATCTTTTCAGGACCCCACCTTGGTGTTTCGGGACCCCACTTTGTGTCCCGACCCCAACTTTGGGAAACACTGTGCTAGTGGAGCATCATCCACAGTGCATAATCCAAGCCCTTACACTAGGGTTGGGCATAATTGCACCGTGTGCATTGTCAGAAAAACATCAGTTGATTATTTTTTGGCACTTGACGTCTAATACGATTAATACCACCAGGCAGACCTGCTCAGTGCTCCTCTCCGCTTCAAACATGACAAACATTAAAAAAAGTTCTGTAATTTATTTATCTATCAACCCAATTTAAAAAATTGATGTATAGCCTGAAGTCTGTAATTTTGACACAGTTTGGAACTGATTTTTATGAAGAGCAAATCTTTTCCACTACATTTGTCATTAGACTAGGACATGGGGGTGTCCAGGGACTCCATGGGATTAATRGTCAAATGAATCATTATTGGCTAAATACCACAATTAATCGTGATTAATTGCACAATATTATGCTTTAAACTTTGGCTATCCCTATTCAGCAACACAGTTTTATCATTTAGCAAAATAACTCATGAACCACTGTACATATTTTGTCAAAATTTCTAAAAGTAATCATTGTCTAAACATCTACAACTGATTTACTTTAAAATTGAACTCGGTTCAAGATGTCTGCTACAGCTAATCAGTCTTAGCCAAAAGTAAAATAACTCTATAACTCTAATCGTTCTACAGAAATTGAGCTTATAAATATGCTGTGATAGTAGCTGAGAGTCATCCTCAACACAATTAATAAAACTGCACTGAAAGAGTTCCGAATATGAGTTACAGTTCTGACAAATTTACTCAACTTTCATCATTAGGTGACCTTGGTTTAAAGCTCTGACATGAAAGGTAAGATAAAATAGACCTTTATTGTCATGGTACAGAGCACAATGAAATTACAGTTCAGAACACCCATTCACAAGAAGACAGACAGAACATAACAAACATAGGAGAACAGGTGCCCTGGGTCATGCAGCCACAGACCCCTGCACAGAACAAGGATCATCATCATGAGGAGGTGCAACCCTTAAACGAAAAACTAAAAACCACACAAGGGAAGATGAAGGTGGGGAGGTGGTGGGTGATATTAATTTCTTCAAGAAATTGAAGATTTTATCATGAAGCGTATGGTGCAGAACATTTTTTTTTTAATTCCACATTAAACAGGGCATTACAGTGAGCAGTAATTTTGGTTGACATATCAAAACCTACTGGATTAGTTCTGCAGAACTGATCTTGTCTTTGCTTGATTTTGCTCTGAAAATGAACTTGTTTGCAGCTAAGCTGACATAAAACTTTTTTCCCTTCTTTTAGAAGAGATACGAAATGATGTCATTATTCAAAGTCTAACTCATGGATCAGTACAGACAGTTCAGTATTTGCATGTATGCGTTGCCTTCATACAAGCTTATTTGGAAGCTCAGTCTGACTGCGAGTGTTACTTGGAGATTAGCAGCGCTGCTTTTGGACAAAGGTTCATTGTTCCTCAAAAGGGTACATTTTGTTGACATGGCATTCCCAAATGAGTGTGGAGAAAACCAGTGTCTAATAAATGTTGCTTTGCGCTGATGGACTCTCTGCAGCTCTTGTCTCTCTGAAGTTCATTATGAAGAAAATCTGAGAGTTACTGACACAGATGAAGCCACCCAGTACTTGTGTCTGCTCATGCCTTCCCTCTTTTGCCAGTTCGAGCCCAGAGCGCCAGAAAGCTGGCCTTTCTAGTGGCTGCTCGATGTGGCGTGGTAGAACGGCTACTAAATAAGTGATGATCCTCCTCTGACATCACGTGCGGCTCGGCTCAAAAATTATTTTATTTCCTCGTGTGTCCCGAGTCCATGCACTCATAGCATGAATCTCCTTTTCCAGTCATTTTCTGAGGGGCGTTTGCACGTTGCCCTTGTTTTTCTGTACTTTTTTCTTCTCCTTTCCTGGATTCTGCTGAGCTCAGAGCAAACCACCGTCCTGAGCTTTTCTACAAATCTTGTCTTGTGTTTCTAGAGACCWGGCAGCTGTTTTCTGGTCAACTAGTAGAGCTTATCCTCAGATAAACATGTGGTTGGGGTTGCAGAGATGGACTCATGTTATCGTCTGTCACGAGAAGCGCACACACTCGTGGATATCTTTTTTCATCTCATGTAAAGTATAGAAATATTTTGATGGTTAAACTGACCTTTTAGTGTTTCAGATATAATGATAATTACCAGTAAGAGGAAAACTAATGAGCTGTAGCAATTGTAGCTTGATTTTTGTTTTTTGTTTGTTTGTTTACATGTATCCATGTTGTCGATGACAGTGATACCTTGCAACCATGGAGCTGAGAGTGGGGAACAAATACCGGCTGGGGCGAAAGATAGGGAGTGGTTCCTTTGGAGATATTTATCTTGGTAAGTGGAAATTTCCTTTTTTTGTTTGTCATTTTCTCTGTTGTTGAAATTTAGCATTTGCTTCATCCTTTCTTCTTCTTCTTCTTCTTCTTCTTCTTCCTCATACACATTTATGAGCTGCCTCTTTGTTTATACTAAATCAATAACTGCCCTCCTTACCTGGTGGACTGAACTTCATTTTTTCCCCACACCTTTAGTCATCATCACTTTGGTCTTTGCATTTGGTTTCATTGCAGTTGTGGGTATTTTTCAGGGGCCAACATTGCCACTGGTGAGGAGGTAGCCATCAAGCTGGAATGTGTGAAGACCAAACACCCACAGCTGCACATTGAAAGCAAGTTCTACAAGATGATGCAAGGTGGAGGTAAGCAAATATAGCTTCAACACACTTTTCAAGATTTCTTATTTTAGGTAATTTCCTCTCAAAGCTATCGTCCCTGGTTGTGTAGTAGATGTAAACATAATACCAAACCCCACACTAACAACAAAACTGTCTAAGAAGTGAACTTGCACACCTGACCACAGGCATTCTAATATAAATGACTTATTGTAGATAGTATTAGTATGTTTATCATATTTTACTAGTTTAAAGGTGCGCCAAATAAAATGATCAGACTCTGTGATGATTAAGTATGCCTGTCATGTCCCAAACAGACCTGGAGAAGCTCATTCATACATTTATATCCGTTAGACTGTATGATTGTAATGATATCTAACTGGACTCTCCCAAAGAACATTAAACAGCTACAGCTCATTCAAAATGCTACATCTCAGGTTTTGACCAGAACTAAGAGATCTGAGCATATTAAAGTCTTTACACTGTCTCCCACAGTAAGCCATAGAATAGATTATAAAGCTTATTGTTGGTTTATAAATCAGTAAATGGTTTGGGATCATAATATTTTAGTGAAATGCCAGTAAAATGTGAAACTAGTAGGACCCATCTCTCCCGGCTCTGGTSAAATAGTCAAGTTCATACGAAACACTGGGAAGCAGCTTTTAGATATCATGCCACACATAACTGAAATGAATTATCAGTATCTAGCCCCATATYTTAGTATTTTGAAATTCCAGAGTAAAAAGATTTTTTTCCTTTGGCTATGATTTAGATCCTTACATGTTTTTTTTTAATTGCGTTAAATCTGTTTAGTTTTGTTTTTTTATTTATTTTCTCTCTCTCTTTCTTGTTTCTTATTGTTTTTAATGTAAAGCTCATAGTGCATTTTAAATGAAACTGCCTTGCTTGTGTTTCGATCAGTTGGTATTCCATCAATAAAGTGGTGCGGGGCAGAGGGAGACTATAACGTCATGGTCATGGAGCTGCTAGGTCCCAGTCTGGAGGACCTTTTCAACTTCTGCTCTCGGAAGTTCAGTCTCAAGACCGTCCTGCTCTTGGCAGACCAAATGGTATGACACAAACCTTTTTTTTAAGTCAGGGGAGTTCYTCAGTTTTATGGTTCCCTTTTAAACCTTGTCCTTTGCAGTGAGAGTACAGAGCCATAATGATGATTATCCCTAATCATAAATACATACTTCTCATAGAAACACTTTATATGTCACTGTAACTTCTTTAAAGGTTGTATATGTTTTGGTTTCTGTCACTCTTCTATATCCAGTGTATATTGTTGTATTGGCCTAGCTTTAAACTATGTTGACCTAGATATTTCACCTTCTGTCCTAGCTAAGCCAAGTTGCTGTGGCAGTCCACCATATGTGTGTCTGACTTTCCAATTTTCAGCCTGGGGTCATGGTCCTCTGTTCTCATGTGTGCTGTTGACCCCTCCGCTCTTTTCTGTCTTAGTTTGTTCAAGTCGTTGATGTAATGAGCTTAAATTTACTGGGTGACATGAGTGAAAAAGTGACCTTGTGCCTGTGGAACACTTATTTTTTCTTCTGTGCTTTGCTCTCTCTACTCTAGATTAGTCGCATTGAGTACATCCACTCCAAGAATTTCATCCATCGAGATGTGAAACCAGATAACTTCCTAATGGGACTCGGCAAGAAGGGAAACCTGGTGTACATCATCGACTTTGGCTTGGCCAAGAAGTACCGGGATGCCCGCACACACCAGCACATTCCTTACAGGGAGAACAAGAACCTGACTGGAACAGCTCGTTATGCCTCCATTAACACGCATCTTGGAATCGGTAAGATTGACTAAAAGGATGTAAACCCAATTTTCTTGTCTTTGTTGTTACTGACACAGCTGTGGGAATCACAGCCTAAATGTTGGAACTAAACTACTGAAGGTAAACACTGTTGTTTTTAAATGTGCTATATAAATAAAGTGATGATGATGAAGGAGAGCAAGAATATTGAGGAAAAAATGTTTAGTTCAGTCTGCCATTTTTATTTAGCTTTAAGATTTTAATTTTAAATATCAGGGCTGCAGCTTTTTTTTTTTACCTGTGACAGCTGACTGTAATCATTCTTAATGCAATTAATCATGACTCCTTATTATGATGCTCAWCACTTGGCTGGGAGTGTAAAGTACACATTGTTTTTGATTTCTTTGCTAATCAGCCGTATGCCCTTTCACCAGACCTTGCTGTTTGTTATTGAATACAATGTTACAGTGRTCTCTGAATCTGCCAAAACTTTGTAAAAGTGTCAAATGCCTTTTATTGTGTTGTTGTAGTTTTGGTGATAGATTTTGTAAGTTTTTTTTCTATTAGCCATCTCAACACATCATTACATTGTACTAGTTGCACAATAACATTGTTTACATTTTTTTTTGTCAGATAAAGTGATTAGTTAGTTGTTTACTCTGCATTTGTTACAGAGTTTATAAATAACTTGACAATTAATTAAACCAAAAGCTTTATATTAAAGTAATAAATTGAGTCTGAACTGTTTTATCTTTTGTTGTTGAGTTTAACAAATTTYCTTTTCTAAAACTTTCATTCTCTTCTTGCTTCACATTTACAGAGCAGTCCAGGCGTGACGACCTGGAGTCTCTCGGTTATGTTCTCATGTACTTCAACTTGGGGTCCCTCCCCTGGCAGGGCCTCAAGGCTGCAACCAAGAGACAGAAGTATGAACGAATCAGCGAGAAGAAAATGTCCACACCCATTGAAGTTCTTTGCAAAGGCTACCCTTGTAAGTGACATGTCTCTAAATTCAGCTACAGATGCCAGATTTCAGATTAACTTGTAATATAGCCTGTTGTCAAACATTAACAAGTCAAAAATATTTTAGCTGTACTCTTTTAATGTAATTTCACTTCTTATTACTAATGGTTTTGTTATTTTTCCAGCTGAGTTCTCCACATACCTGAATTTTTGCCGCTCACTTCGTTTRGATGACAAACCAGACTACTCCTACCTACGGCAACTTTTCAGGAATCTGTTCCACCGACAGGGTTTCTCCTATGATTATGTCTTTGACTGGAACATGCTCAAATTTGTAAGTTTGCACTGATTATTTTTATTAGATCTCYCATCACAATGTAGCTGATTTTAATATTTAAAAAAATCCACAATCTCATTTATCAGGGTGCCAGTCGGACYGCCGAGGATGGAGATCGGGAGAGGAGAACAGGAGATGAGCGGGATGAACGGATTGGAGGAGCCCCCAGGGGGTCTGCATCGAGGGGCCTCCCTCCAGGTCCCACCCCTGGAGCTCCCAACAGAGTCAGGAATGGGCCAGAGCAAGCCATCTCTAACCCAGCCTCACGGGTCCAGCAGTCCGGTGAGTTGTCAGCTAAAAGATGTATTTTAATAACAAAGTAACACTTTGTATGCATGTTGATGTTTGCTTTATTTACTTGTTTATTTTCAGGTAACACATCACCTCGTGCAATTTCCCGTTCAGAGCGGGAGAGGAAGGTGAGCATGCGTTTACACCGTGGTGCTCCGGCCAACGTGTCATCCTCTGACCTCACAGCTCGTCAAGATCAGTCAAGGATTTCTACATCACAGGTAAGAAAACATTTATGGTGTCTTCATTTGAAACCTCCAGGAATTATCTTTAAAAGTAACCACTGAGGACTTCCGGTTAGCAGCGAGGAAGATGGAAGCATAAAATAAGAGCTCTCYCCAGAAAACTACAAATTAAACCCCACACAGAAGAAACATCAACATTTAATAATAAAAAAGGACGTGGGATACGTGGGGGAGATGAAAGAAAAGGACGACAAACACAAAGACTTCGAAACCAAACAGAGGAAGACTCAGACATGGAAGAAAGCTCCACTCGAGAAGATGTGCCGACAGCCACGGCACAAGGGGAAATGCTAACGGRTARATGGCAAGATGGCCTGGCTAGAATAATGAGGGAAATACGAGAGCTGAAACAAGAAATGAAAAACGACCTTGCCACGTTTAAAACCGACTTCAAACAAGAACTCAACGCATTTAAAGAACAGATTGACTTCAAACTGACTGAAAATAAGAAGGCTCTACAAGAACAAAAGAAGGCTTTGGAGGAAGCGCAGACCCTGATTGGAGAGCTGGAGGACTGGAACATAGAGGTGAAACAGGCCTTTTGATAACCCTGAAAGAACAGCGAGATTTGAAAGAAACTGACAGATTTAGAAGGGAGGTCGAGACGAAACAATATGCGCATTTTCGGGATCCCGGAGGGAGACTCGGTTCCTCGCTACATGGAGAACTTGTTGTGGAAGGAATTAGAAATACCAGCGGACACTCGTCTTCTGATTCAACGTGCGCACAAGGCCACACCGAACAGACGCGGGCCCGGATCTGCACCACGATTGGMGATTGTGAACTTCCACCAATTTGACACAAAAGASATGATCCTCAAGTAAGCATGGCAAAAACCAATTCGGATTGACGATAGACTGCTTTTTTTTCATCACGACTACCCTAAAGATGTGGTTAAAAAAATGCAAAGCATACACCGATGTAAAGAAGATGCTAAAGAAAAACGGGATTAAATTCCAGACGCCTCTGACAAGAATCATAATTCACTGGCAAGATGGTCCCAAAATCTATAATGACCCACAGGAAGCAGCGAYTGAGATGCAGAAGAGAGGCCTAGCGGTACCAAGAGGAGGAAAACAACAGGAAGACACCGTGGAGAACAGGATAATGGATGCGTTACTATGGGAGCACAACCAGCAGCCACATGTGRGGAGGGGAGCCGGCCAGAGAGCGAAAGAAAGTCTTCAGGAATTTTGGAGATYAGGTGATGGATAAATAAGGGGAGATAACTAAAACACACACAGTTAATAACGGGACAAAGGAAGAACAAAACAATTTACAGTTACTTTAATTTCTTTATTGCTTAAATCCCTGCAGAGAAAATATTTAAACAACAATAAGTCTTAAGTTTTATACTTATTTTTTACAAGTGTTTGTGGCAAAATTCAAAGCCATCTCCCTTTTGTAAGAAATCAAGTCATTTGAAAAATAATTAATCTGACAAGAGACACTCCCAAACAAAGGAGAATCACAATTATGTGCACATACAGTATTACAGAAGAACTTCCAAATGCAGTGAAGGGAATGAAAACTAATAAACCCCCTGGAAATGATGGATTTCCTATAGAATGGTAAAAGGTCTTTAATAAAGAATTATTAGCATTGGAAATTTTTATATTTATGTTTTGGAAAGGTTTGGTTTAAATGCTCAGTCAGTTACATCTATCAGAACATTATATCAAGATCCGATGGCAAGAATTAAAATAAATGGTAGTCTTTCAAATTGGTTTAAACTTGAAAGATCAAGTAGACAAGGCTGCTGCCTTTCATCAACTTTATTCGCAATATTTATTGAGCCTTTGGCCCAAGCAATTAGYCAAACTGAGGAGGTTAAAGGGGTTAAAATTAGGGACACACTGTGCACAAAATAGGACTATTCGCTGATGACATTTTAATTTACTTAAAAAAACCTGATACAGGTTTACCTAAACTTATGAACCTTTTAGAATTATATGGTCACCTGTCAGGAGGATACAAATTAAACATTGGGTAAACTCGAGTCCTGTCACTAAATTATACCCCAACTACAGAAATAATCCAACAATACAAATTTAAATGGAGCAAAAAATCAATTGTCTACTTAGGAATAACAATTACAAGTAACCAAGAGAAATTATATGCAGCTAACTACAAATACCTTAGTCAGAAGATTTATGAAGATATGAATAAATGGAAGTCTTGCTGTTGGTTTTAAATGCTAGAATTGATATTGAGATTAAAATACTACCTAGACTTTTATATTTGTTTCAGTCCCTCCCAGTGACAATACCTTCTTCACAATTTATAGAGTGGGATAAAATATTAGCAAGATTTATTTGGAATGGAGGTAAATCAAGAATTAGATAATCAACACTCCAAAGACCCAAAAAAGAGGGAGGTCTGGCACTGCCAAATCTTCAAAATTATTATGCAGCACAATTAAAGGCATTGATGAACTGGTGTACCAAAAATTATACGGCAAAATGAAAGGAAATGGAGTTGAATGTTGAGAGAGATTATATACAAGCTATGATTGTCAATAAGAAAACGTATTAATAAATTGAGATACAGCTGGATTCCATTACAAAATTCACCCTGGAGACCTGGTATGCGATAGTCAAGAAATGTAAAATCAAAAATGAAATTAAGATTTTCAGCTGGTTGGCCTATAATTCAAATTTTAAACCAGGAATCACAAATTCAAAATTTAAAGAATGGTCCAATAAAGGCTTGTATATGCTAGTCAAATTAACAAAAGAGGGGAAAATTAAATGTTTTCAAACTTTACAAAGAGAGTTTAATTTGGGAAATCAAGATTTTTGCATGCATTTACAAGCCCAAGACTATTATTAAAAGGAAATAAGAGCAAGCCTTCCTGGACAAATAAACAAAATCACAGTACTATTAGGAAATGCATATAAGAAGAAAACAGACAAACTAGTCTCAAAGCTATATCAAGGACTGATGACTAATGGGAAAACACTAACATTATATGTAAAGAAAAAGTGGGGAAAAGAACTGGAGGAGGAAATAACTGATGACACGTGGAATGATATTTGTGAAATGCAACAGAACACAACTAACTCCAGAATATGGAAAACTTTTTGTTGGAAAAATATAATTAGATTTTTTATTACACCTAAGATAAAGGGGAGATCATTATCAGTGCAACAACCATATTGGGGAATATGTGGAGGGCAAGACGTAAGTCATTCACGTTTTTTTGCAATGTATAAAGCTGAAATACCTTTGGGACGAGGTTTGTAAACGTTTGAAAGAAATACTAGGATACGAACTATCAAAAACAGGTACAGTTTTATATTTGGGTTATTTATCAGAAAGTAACATTCCAAGTAAAGACCGATACTTGGTCAAAATTTTATTGGCAGCAACCAAGAAAGCTATCACACGGAAATGGGGTAAGGTGGACCCTTCCACTTTAAACAATTGGATGGACATTGTGGAAGAAATTCACAACATGGAGAGATTTATATATATATATATATTAATGGAAAAATTATTAAGATGGTAATAAGATAAGTTGTCACCTGACACTTTGTTCTGTTTTTCTTTTTTTTTTTCTTTCATGTGTACTTTTTACTCTGTATTATGTAACAAAAAGTAAAAATTATAAATTAAAAAATAGTAACCATTGAGTCGGGATTTATCACCCAGCTTCTTTGTGACTTGAAGTAAACACATCTTACAGTGCACTCAGGGATGTCAAATCCTGATCCACGAGGGCCACTATCTTTCATGATTTACTTGTTTCTCTGCTGCAACACACAAAATTCAATGATTGAATCGCCTATTCAGGTTCTGTAGAAGCGGCCTATTCCTTCAGACCAGCTGTTGGAGCAGAGAAACCTATAAAACATGCAGGATAGAGGCTCTCAAAGACCAGGATGGGACCCCCCTGTGCTAGAAATTAGATGATATTGTTTATTAATGAGATGATGAAATCAATTGCAATAAATTCACATTTTCCTCATTTCTGACTTTCTCTTCTGTCTTTACCATCATCTAAACCAGGTGTGGGCGTCAAGGCCAGTGGGAGTTGGTTGGATTGACCAAAATATACACTGCTCAAAAAAATAAAGGGAACACTACTGCTCAAAAATAAAGGGAACACTTAAACAACGCACGCTAACTCCCGATCTTAATCAATGAAATATTCGCATTGAGTACTTTGTTCTGTACAGAGTTGAATGTGCTTCACAAAAGTTTGATTTACTTGGACTTAGCATGCGTTGTTTAAGTGTTCCCTTTATTTTTTTGAGCAGTGTATTATTTGCAGGCAGAACATAAATGCATAGTGCCTGAAATATAACGACCCAAGGGGGGAAAAAAGATTTATTTCAGGCTATTGCAGTATTTATATTACACTCATTAATGTTGCGATGATGATAAATTTGCCTCTTTATGTTTAGCTCTTATTAGTGTTTCCTCCTCCTAAATCTTTATTTTGTCATTTATAGGTCAGCGTACCATTTGAACATGTGGGGAAGTGAAACTGTATGGCTCTGCATGAACCTAAATTTGACAGGTGAGGTTTAGCTCCCTTTTTTATTTTTCAGAATTTACAATACAAAGCCACTAATGAAAATCTATTTTTTGTTCCAGGGCTGCAAGGAGTGTTCTCTGCTATACTTATTTTTACCCCCCATTCTTTACACATTCTTTGAGTCTGTTTGTTGATGGATATACCAGTTTTTGCAACAAGACAATAAATCTTTTCAAGGATTCAGGAAAAATGATATCCAATGTACATTCTTACCTGGATCGTCTTTGCCAGCCCTCGGATCTCCACCACCATGACACAGATAGCAAATGACAATGCTGCACCTTGACAGTTGCTCATTCCTGCCCTCATTTTCCTGAAAACATTCCCTTAATATTTTTGAAAAATGTGAAGGACTGTTTGCATCAGAGGAGCAAAAAAAAAAAAAGGTTTCAGGGACACGCATGTTTTCTAATCTAAAATTGATTCAGACTTAGTAATCTCTGTTTTTTGTTTTAAAACCACAGACTCTTTACCAGTAAATGTCTTTTTTTTTTCCCCCTCACAAAGACCTATTGGAGTTTGAGATTGTTTTAATACCAGCTAAATGGAAAATGAGCATCTGTAGTTGACGCTGGGTCAAGTAGATGAGAAGATGGCAACAAGAAAGACAAGTTTTAAAGGATAAGGAAACAATGTTTTAGCTGGTGATTGCTTGCCCCTCGTTCGTTTTGTGGTGATATACTGTTAAAACGTAGCCATCAAAACCTTCAGCACATTTTACTTTGCTTGATTTTTTTCCCTTGAATTCATTTTTTATGTAATTTTTATTATTTTTTGAGGGTAAAGTATGATAATAGACATTTGAAGGACACACCTAGATCTTGAGAGAAGCTCCTCAGGAAATTCTCAGCAGAGACCTCAGCTGCCCATTTCAGTCAACAAACAAAAGATGCAATTTTTAAGATATTTCTTATGGTTACCTTTTTTTATTCTTTTGTTATAAAGAGGGGGAGGGGGGCAGTCTCTGTTAGGAAAGACATTTGGGAGGGTAGGGATCTTTTTTTTTTTGCTTTTGTTTTTCCCTTTTGTTTACTCCACTGTAAATATTTTATATTATTTCAATGTAAAGCCAAACATGGTTATTTGTTGTAAAGGTGTAAAGTAGAAAAATGCATACTTATGAAGAGATTTGAATCAGATGTAATAAACTTGGAGTCAGGTGATTGTAGTGTCAGCTGGGTCATTCAAAAAGTGTGTGCATGAGACAATGATTACTTTCTGTTTGCTTATAACTTTTAAATATGTTCTATTTATTTGAGACTTTTATTTACCTCTCTGAATTTGTAACTTTGAGTAGCATTTTGCTTTTATTTTTTCCTTCTTTTTAGGCCTTGTTTCACTCTGATCATACTCAAATATTTGGTACCTTAAGTATTTTTTTTTCAGCAGGCATTTATTATTGAGGATCCGATGTCACTTTCTGCATTTAAACCTTAACGGTATGAGTGTGTGTACATAGCAGTGTGTGATGTGTAATCACCTTGTACAGGCTACCATGACCCAGTGGCACTATAACTGTAGCTTTTAGGGGATGAAGTACAAGAGGATGAGCCAAGGGGGAGTTTCACATTGTGTATTGTGTACGGATATCCTGTACAGTTCTTTAACACTATTTACAGTATTTGTGTATATTTTATGAGGTAATAAAAAAAAAGTTGCTCACGACGTCTAGCTTTTTTTTAAAACTCTGCATCTTTATTTTTTTTATTGACATTGAAAGTTGGGAGTGGTGTATGGCAGTGGTTTCCAAACTTTTTATCTTCTAACCCACAAAATATTCATGACAAAAACTTGTGACCCCAAATATTACTGGTCTGAGTTCACAAACTTTGTTAATAGCCCTAAAAACAAAGGATACACATAAATATTTATACTTATTTTGTGTTTTTGTAATAATTATAGGGAAAATATTACATCACCAATTGTTTTATTACCCTTTAAATTGATTTCTGAAGCAGTGGTTCCCAAATTTTTCWGCTTTTGACCCACAAAATAACAGTAGCAGAGACCTGTGCCTACAACTATTTTTGGATGATAAACATTTGTATCAGGTCAACTAAACATGGGCATAGTAACAATATTTATTATTCTACATTTATACATTTTAGGCAACAAGTAAGGCAAAAATGTAATTAATTTAGAAAATCTTTTCAGGACCCCACCTTGATGTTTCAGGACCCCACCTTGGGTCCCGACCCCAACTTTGGCAACCACTGGGTATGGAATAGGCTAAAATCAACTTCGACTGCGCATGCGCCGAAGTAGAGCGACCGCTAACGTCGTCTACTGAGTGGTCCATCTGCTTTTTACGGAAAATTCACTAATAACTATGGTCGTATTTTTTCCCACGGATTTTTTTGCGTTGTAATTGAACGTGGGACTCCCCGAAAGGACGTTATTACATATTTTAAATTGAAGCATCGGCGAAAAGGGATTGCTACACAAGCTAGCAGCAGCAGCGGCGGCAGCGCTCGACTTGGACAAGTCAGCTGCCAACACTTCAAAGCTACCGGGGGGCAAATTTTCGTGGTTCGGACTGTAATGCGGCGATAACAAACGTGGCTGGTTGTCGCTAGGTAACTTTTTGTACTCGAAAAGGCTCGGGATCAGCTTGAGATGATGAGCTAAATAAAGCCACTGCCTGGATTCGAACCAGCGGCAGACGAACAGCTGCGGAGGAGGTAAGGATGGAGACATGATGAGCAGCTACTATTTTTTACGTTTTTTCTCTTAACACGTTAGATTTCTARACACGTGATTGTAATAAATATGACAACATCCCTAATATAGTATTTATAGCAGCAACACTTAGTAATATTTAACTGACTTGTAAAAGAAAATCACAGCTTCAGACTGAACGCAGACACACACAGGCCTGATGTGATTGTTTCAGGCAGCTCTCAGCCTGGACATATTAAATGGGCTCATCACAAAGACATCTGCTTGGATTGAGGTCAAAGTACAATACATCCTATGCTCCTGTGTTTTGCCTGCGGCCTAGTGGGAAACCAAGCAGTGAAATGTTATAAAGTTTATTTTAAATCAACTTTTAAACATGACAATATTTTGTAGTTGAATTACACTCACTCTATGGTTGTAGTTTTTCATAAAATGATGCAAAATATAAGTGGTAAAACCAAGTTTTYTAATAATCAACATCTGCTCAGGTTCAGAAATTCATGTGGTGATTAGTTCATGATATTGATCATTGGTTACACATTGTTTCCTGTTTATGACTGCTTGTTTTTCRAGTTTTCATCAGTAAGTGGTACATATATTAACACTTGAATATATTTCCCAGCTTTTRCTTMTTGTTTTACCTAACTAAAAGCCTTTTGTGTTGCCTCCGTGTTTGTGTGATCTGCTGCTACTGCATTGTGTCACAAGCTTATTGAGTTTCAAGCAAGTGGCATGACTCATCCATGACCACACTGCACTGTCCTATATTTAGCCTGTGCACAGGAAGAAAAAAAAAAGGTTTGGGAGCCATTGTGAAATTAGTTTTCACTCTGAACGATTAGGTTGTTGCCTCTCTAAAATCAGCACCAAGACACAGGCGCAGTCGAGTTGATCCTACAAAGATGAAAGATCTGATTGGATCGTGAGGTCTGGATGCTTTTGAKGTTGATGAACTTTGTTTTTGCTTGTTAGATTAGTACAAATATGRTATGAACACCAGTAATCTTGTTTTAAAGAAATCTGTTGAAATTTGAAGGMTTTTACTTTCCTTGTAAGGAACAGAAGTGTATATTAGAATTATTCACTTAGTAGTGTAACTATAAAGTTGCATTAGAATATTTTGTTGAATTTATWTCTATGTAAAGAATTTGTTGTAATTGTTTTCTAATTGTAATTGTGTTAAGCTTATTTCACTTAACACAGAAAATAAGAAATGTGATTTCTCTCGTCATCTTTACCTCTTAGCATTTCCTGTCACCCCGTGTTTTGATTTCATATCACAGCCGCACAGTATCTCTTGCATTTTTTAGATCTGTGCCCTACTTTTTCTTTCTTCTCCAACATCAGTGCTTGCTGGTTTGAAATGTAGGTCGCAGCGCAGTCTTATGTTTCATGCAATGGAAGGTCCTGCAACCAATTTTTTTTACTGTTAAAATTGCTTTAGTCTGATTATTTTGCGTCACATGAATCTTATTATTATTATTATTATTATTATTATTATTATTATTGATGAAATCCTCTTTGTTCTCACAGATGAATCAGCTTTTGTGGCGAGACAAGCGCCTGGCGGATAGGTTGGGAAACAACTCTCCCAATGGACTCCCTCCAGGCTTTCCAGTCACTGTGCTCCCTCCAGGATCGAACTCATCTTGGGCGCCCATCGGTCCAGTGGTCAGACCAGAGGAGCCGATATTCCTCATGACGTCCACTGCTCAAACTATATCAGGGTTTTTTGTTTGGACTGCTCTTCTGATCACATGTCACCAGGTATGAGTTTGACATTTGCAGTTTTCTGATGGATCTAAAATCTGATCTAAGATTATCAGTGGRGTGCACCAAAAAGCTAGCTTCACTTACCTCCAATCCAGTAAACAAGACTCTTAGTTCTGCTAACACTAATACACTAAACAGCACATTTATAAAGATACTGGGAGTGTAAAACCCTGTTTTTGTAATATGTGTCACTGTACAGAGCATAAAAAATTTAATTAAAGATCTCAGAAGAAAAAGGTCAGAACTCAGGGGAAAAAAAGTAATTTTTTGATCTATGGCCCTAATTTTGTAGGAATAGTTGTGCATTGTGTAAAAATAATGAAAAGCTTGTAAAATTGCAATTGGCGTAAATAAATTGTGAAGATTTTACTAGAGTTTTGTAAAATGTGAGTTTCATTAAATATGGCACAGCTTGAAAATCAAACAGGCATTTCTAATTTTTTTACATGGAAATAAAAGCGTGGTTATTAAGGAATGTAAATAAAGTTGTAGCAACTTAAACAGTTCAACTTTTATTTTCTGTGAAACAATATTTGCTATGAGGTTTACACTTATAATGAAATCTCACAAATGTTAGCGTTTTCTTTGTTTCATTTTTATTTCCACAAAAATGTTTAACATGCCAAGCTTCAGAATTAATCATGAGTGGATAAAAATGTATACAGCATATTCTATGACAAATATTTCAGTTACATTTAAACTCATAAGACAATAGTTATTCAACACAAAAACATGCACAATAGGTTGTCTTTAGACCTAGGCCACCCTTGAAAAAGAGATCTGCGATCTCAATGGGATTTGCCTGGTTAAATAACGGTACATACATACATACATACATACATACATACATACATACATACATACATACATACATACATACATACATACATACATACATAC